TATTACATTTTACCCCAAAATAGGCCGAACAAATGTATCAAACAATTCACCGGTAAGTGTTATGTGTGAGCATTTTAATCAAATAGCTAATGAATGTGATCTTTATTTTACACCATTTAAAGAGATTTCTGATTATGTTATTAAGTATTTAGAATAAGCCTAATTTTTAGTATTATTATTGTCTTTAATTTCACGCCGTTTGCCTTAATCTTAAGTATTGCATATTTTCCTGTAATTGGGTGTAACCTGTAGGGAAATAAACTATTATTATTATTATTAATATATCACAAGTACAGACGCATCGTATTTTGTACATTTTAGATAGGATTTATTCGGCAAACTTTTGAGCTGACGTCATCAAGTTTTTGGAGGGAATAACCAAATATATATTGACTAAAGATTTATGATGCTCTTTAGAGCCTTAAAAGATCTGCAACATTTTAAAACATTCGGGTTAGCAGATTCAAAATTAAATTGCAAAATGTTGTTTTATGCTTTTGATTTTTTTTTCCAAAAATCTGGACGTTTCGGGTAAAAACTGAATTCGGAGTCGTAAACTACATGTGTAGGACTATGTTATTTTATACAATTTAAGACCCATTTACTATGTACAATTTTGAAGTGACGTCATCGCATTAGTGGTGGGGATGATTAGACAAATTTTGGTTAGCGTTTTACCATCTACATGATATTCCTAATATAAGTACAAAATTTCACAACAATCGGTCCAGTACTTTCGGAGATTATCTGTCTAATAAAAATCCGGGACGGCAGACGGACAGACGGACGGACAGACGGACGGACAGACGGACGGACAGACAGACGGAAATGGGAGCCCTATTTTTTCGTATTCTAGGAGTCATGAAAGATCGAGAAAACGTAAAACTAGAGAGTCGGCCGACGGACTCGATTACAATACTTCCTTTGCTTACGCTCGGGAAGTAAAAACGAGGAGCCAGTTTAAAAGCGATGAACTGGGTTTGCACCCCCAAAACTACGACCGAAGTCCTTCCAATCTGTAACGTCATGGCTGAGGTTGGCTGACTAAAAGAGTCCATCGGGAAATTGTCTGCTTTCATATTTTCCAAATGGGTCTCCGTTTCCATCTGTCTGTCTGTCTGTCTGTCTGTCTGTTCGTCCGTCTGTCCGCTGCCTGTACCATTCAATTTTATTAGAGAGATAGTCTTAGAAACTAACGGACCGAATGTTGTCAAATTTTATATGTGTATTATGAATACAACGTAGATGGCGAAACGCTAAGCACACTTTGTCTACTCATCCCCACCAAGAACGTGATGACGTCACCGCAATATTCCACATAGTAAATGGGTTTTAAATTGTATAAAACAACATTATCCTACGCGTGTATGTAGTTTATGAATCCATGCTGAGTTTTTGTCCTAAACGTCCAAATGTAAAAAAAAATCAAAATTATATAATCTGCAAAACCGAATACTTTGAAATCTGGCAGATGTTTTAAACTGATGACGTCACGTCACAATTTTGTCAAATAAATCCTATCTAAAATGTGCAAAAAGCTATACTTGTAATTTATCACTACGGTAAGATTTTTTATATATGGTTATACAACGCGACTCAAAAAAATTAATGAATGAGTCAATTTATTTTATTGAATAAATCACGAACTGCAAAACCGGATGCTTTGAAATATTGCAGACATTTTAAAATTTTTGTAAGCATGTAAGTTTTTAGTCAAAATAGATCTGTTTGTTCCCCTCAAAAAATTGATGACGTCATTTCAAAATTTTGCGTAATAAATACTACCTGAATTGCGCAAAACTTGATGAGGTTTTACTTGTGATTTATCATTCGTTCATACTTTTTAGATTTGCTTATACAGGTGGTCCCGATAATAAAAATAAAAATCGCAAAATCAAATATTATAATAATAAAATGCCGGATGTTTCTTTGTACTTTAGGGGCGAAGGAAGCTCTCAAAACAAGCTTCGACCCATTTTGACTCCTTGTCTGATAGAAGCTTTTATCGTATTGTGTCACGAAAGGAAAAGGATACGACCCAATGACTTTTACCAAAAAACGAATGATACTAAATGATAATTAACATTAACCACTGGAGCTTTTTCGTAATGAAATATAAAAAAATTGGTCTAAAGAGTTTAGACAGTACTTCCCTCGCTGTCGGAAACTTGACGACTGCATGCCTATTGTGTTTTTTTTCTCATTACATTTTTGTAGTGGGAATTTAAAAAAAAATTGCGATGACGTCATCAACATTTTTGCAAGGACACGTATATCAGTTGGGATAGATGTAGTGTAATACTAAGAATAAAATTATTATATTCTCAAATTTTCGGGAAAATGAATTGGGTCGTTTTGAATATTGATTTGTAATAATCAATAAAATAACGAAACAATTTACTCACGTATACCTACGTATCAGAGGCAACTGAAAATCGTGTATGTATAAACATTCTTAATTTAAGATGACAGGCGTAACAGCATACGTGAGAGTCAAACAAAGAAACTGTAAACAAAACGACAATCGGTTTTATTGCGTCGATTTCCGCTTATTATATAAAACATTGGATTTTATTTTAATTTTTCACGGTGGAATTCACAATTGGTTGATTTAAAACATGTCTATACCACATTCGCGGAACCTAGTCAGCTATGTTTCAACCGAGTTTTAACTTTAAAAAATTTTGTGTCTACCAAATTGGGTTGGTCCAATGTAATACTAATAATAAGTGTTGCCTTTAATTTGATCAATAAAATAAATTGACTTCATTAATTTTTTTGAGCCACCCTTTAAGAAAATCTAAAAAATATGAATGGAATGATAAATCACAAGTACAAACTCATCATATTTTCTGCATTTTAGATAGGATTTATTTAGCAAAATTTAAGGGTGACGTCACCAATTTTTTTAGAAGGGATGAACAAATACATTTTGAACAAAAGTTTACCATGCTTATAATAACTTTAAAATATCTCCAAGATTTCAAAGCATTCGGTTTTGTAATTCCTGATTAAATCGATCAAATAAATTCACGCATTCATTAATTTTTTTTGAGTCAGCCTGTATATGCAAATCCAAAAATATGAATGGAATTATAAACCACAAGTACAGACTCATCATATTTTGTACATTTTAGGTAGGATTTATTCAGCAAACTTTTGGGGTGACGTCATCAATTTTTTAGGGGAGATGAGCAAATACATTTTGATAAAAAATTTACCATGCTTATAATAACTTTAAAACATCTCCAAGATTTCAAAGCATTCGGTTCTGTAAATCCTGATTAAATCAATAAAATCAATTGACGCATTCAATAATTTTTTTCAGTCACCCTATATATGCAAATCGAAAAAATATGAACGGAGTGATAAATCACAAGTACAGACTCATCATATTTTTCACATTTTAGATAGGATTTATTCACCAAATTTTAGGGTGACGTCATCGATTTTTTTAGGGGGGAAGAGCAAATACATTTTGATAAAAAAATTACCATGCTTATGGTAACTTTAAAACATCTCCAAGATTTCAAAGCATTCGATTATGTAATTCCTGATTAAATCAATAAAATAAATTGACGCATTCATTAATTTTTTTCAGTCACCCTGTATATGCAAATCGAAAAAATTTGAATGGAATTATAAATCACAAGAAGAGACTCACCATATTTTGTACATTTTAGATAGGATTTATTCGGCAAAATTTTGTGGTGACGTCATAAATTTTTTAGGAGGGACGACCAAATACATTTTGATAAAAAATTTACCATGCTTATGATAACTTTAAAACATCTTCAAGATTTCGAAGCATTCGGTTTTGTAGTTAATGAGTAAATCAGTAAAATAAATTTTGCGCATTCATTAATTTTTTTGAGTCACCCTGTATATGCAAATCCAAAAAATATGAATGGAGTGATATATCACAAGTACAGACGCATCATATTTTGTACATTTTAGATAGGATTTATTTGGCAAACTTTTGAGCTGACGTCATCAAGTTTTTGGAGGGGATAACCAAATATATTTTGACTAAAGATTTATGATGCTCTTTAGAGCCTTAAAACATCTGCAACATTTCAAAACATTCGGATTAGCAGATTCAAAATTAAATTGCAAAATGTTGTTTTATAATTTTGATTTTTTTTCCAAAAATCTGGACGTTTCGGGTAAAAACTGAATTCGGAGTCGTAAACTACATGTGTAGGACTATGTTATTTTATACAATTTAAGACCTATTTACTATGTACAATTTTGAAGTGACGTCATCGCATTAGTGGTGGGGATGATTAGACAAATTTTGGTTAGCGTTTTACCATCTACATGATATTCCTAATATAAGTACAAAATTTCACAACAATCGGTCCAGTACTTTCGGAGATTATCTGTCTAATAAAAATCCGGGACGGCAGACGGACAGACGGACGGACAGACGGACAGACGGACGGACAGACGGACGGACAGACGGACGGACAGACAGACGGAAATGGGAGACCTATTTCTTCGTCTTCTAGGGGTCATGAAAGATCGAGAAAACGTAAAAGCAGAGAGTCGGCCGACGGACTCGATTACAATACTTCCTTTGCTTACGCTCGGGAAGTAAAAACACATTTTTTATTGAATTATTTTGTTTAGATGGCTCCCTACTTTCCCCTACACAATATAAATATACTTACTTAAGAATTTACACTCCTAACTAGTCAAGTTTTTAATTAAAAAAATATATATTTTAGTCATTGTTACAAAATTTGATTAATTAGGAATATTTTATAATAGTTGTAACATCTTAAAGGTGTAAAAATATTTCAGCAAAAATTAAATTTGCATTTTAGTATTGTGGTACGGTATAATCATATCCATATATATTAAATCAAAGTTTAAAGGTTCTCATGAAGTAATAAAAAAATCGGACGTCATTTACATTTTTATTCTTATCACAAGAGATAAAATTTGCGTGTTATATAAGTTAGCAAAAACATAATTAGCCCACTAGTTCATGAGCAAGAGTGTTTGGCAATGGTATGTTCTTTTTAACAAAATCAGTTATAATTTAATTATAGCTACTTAGTTATAATTAAATTATAATTATTATGTATATATTTCAAACGTGAAATGAAACCTTTGCTTTGTTTTCAATACCATTTTAATTAAGGTATATTTAACCAGTGCTCATTTTCAGATGAGAAGCCTAATTTTTAGGATTTGCCTTTTGGTGGCAATACTCAGTTATGCACATTCTAGACACACAAAAACTATAGAAAAAAGACAGTGCTCAGGCAACAACTGCAATACATGCAACGGTGGAAATTGCAACACATGTAACGGTGGAAATTGCAACACATGCAACGGTGGAAATTGCAACACATGCAACGGTGGAAATTGCAACGCTTGCAACAACAATGTTTGCTGTTCAAGTGCAAGTTGTAACCAATGTGCTAACCAATGTTCCAGCAACTGTAATAACAACGTATCGTGTAAAAATAATTGTGTGAGTGGATGCGTCACGGCGTGCCAAGGAAATAATAACTGTACGGGGTCTTCATGTTCCCAATGTATCAACAATTGTGGGAACCAGTGGTCCTCAAAAGACTGTCTTAACGATTGTTCTAAATCATGCGATGGTACTTCTGTTACTACGAACACTATTACTTCAGACGTAAATAAAGATTCTGTCATATTGATTCCAGCATCTTCCGACGGTTCGAATGTAATTGTCAATAACACGAATAATAATCTTGTTAATCTAACTACAGTCATTAACATCGACAATGTCGTTCACAACATCAATAACATAAGTATCCCGGTATATGTGAACACTACCAACATTAATAACATCAATTTGTCTCAAAGTCATAAATCGACTAACAACGATGTTACAACTGACATTGAACGACCCGATTTCCCGATGCCTCTTCGTGAACAATCATTACCATATTATCCACCGATTTATCCTTTTCCACCGAATTATCCTTCACCACCGAGTTATCCTTCACGACCATCTGGAGACAACTGTTGCTTCGTGTTGCATCCAAGAACCTGCTATACTGATAATGAAGGCAACAACAGGTGCTACATCAGGAGAAGTCGAGAATGTTCTGATGCATGTACATCACCAGTGATTTCAATAGAACAAGGATCCACAACTAATTCAGGATGTCAACGTGTTGGTACTTGGCCCTACCAATATTGTGGAAACTACATTCGTCGAGGTATGAATTAGTAATAGTTCTTGTGGTAAAAAATAATTTCAAACTCTTTTGGTTAGACTGTAACCAATGTTACACCTGCGGAGGAAGCTACAATCCAAGCCAATGCTTTAGACAATCCGAATGTTCGGATAGTTGCAGAAGCGCAGCACCAAGTTGTGTTCCGAGTCAATCTGGACTCCGGTGTTATTAGTTTAAGACATTATTACTACTTGTTATTGTTGTTCACGTGAAAAATAAGAAGAGTCCTTACCATTGACTGAATTTTTATTATTGTGTCTTTGTATCGTATATTATCTTCTTTTTTTATTTTATCGTTCCTCTCCATTTGACATCCAACAAGATCTTGCCGTTCCATGGGCAAAATTTGCTACCTCTCTTACTGAAGGAAATTTGATTTTAAACTAAATCCATATACTGTCACTTTGTATGCCTATGTGAGAACGCAATTCCAACTATTTACAAGGTGGCTGAATTTACGTCAAAATTACTGGTTCTTTGCAAAAAAAAGTTGTTGATGAACTTGAGCAGATTATTTTAGAATAAGACAACTTCATCAAAAAATTACAAAATGAAAATTTAAGGTTACAAGAAAAATTTGGTCTAAAGTTGTTTCGACAGAACTTCCTTCGCTCCTGAAGTACAATGAAACATATCCAGCATTTTCGAAAAATTATAAAATTTGATTTTGCGGATTTTATATTTTTTAAGAACCCCTATATGTTGAAATAAACATATGTAAATATATAATACTGAAATAAATGTAAAGAAGCATGGTACGCGTATGTTTCAAATAAGTTTTGGCTTTACATAATTTTGTGATGACGTTAGGTTGGTGCATTAATACTAATAATAACGTATTATACTACCGCCCCCCCCCCTTCCAAAGTTTTGGGAAAAATGGTGTGAGCCGTTATTGATTTATCACATCATATTATCATAATTTACACAATTTAGATAGTATTTTTTCGACAAAATTATAACATGAAACGTCATCAATTTTTTGGAGGAATAAAGAAATTTTGATTAAAAATTTACCATTCCTGCAATAACTTCAAAACGTCTGCCATAAAATAAATTGAGTCATTAATTTTTTTGCATCACCCTGAATAAGTAAATCGAAAAAATAAAGGAACACATAGTTGGAAATAAAACTTTTCGACTTAACGAGGGGAGTCAATTTTACAACACAATTTTGTTCCTCTTGATACAGATGCTTTAAAAATGATAATGAGATGTAACCCTTCTCTTCAGTAAATGTACAGTTAACACCCCAAAAATTATCAGGAATTTTGTATAACATTTTACAATGTATCTTTGGAACTGCAAAAGTGAATACACTGAGATTTTTGGGGCTCCTGATCGTGGCTGTTCTCCTACCCACGACGGTGATTTTATCTATCGCAAGCACTGCAGCACAGCACATCTTCATGACGAACATGCCGTACGAGCAGGCCGTCGCGGTCGTAAACTCGCAGTTGGGTCTCGGCTATACGAAGCCAACAGCGTCACGTCATCTCGACCGCCCCTGACTTCTATTCAAACCTGCGTCTTTTGTGCAGATGGCGCGATAAATCCCACCAGCTCGACTAGGAACCGCGCCCTCCGCTTCTGCCAAGTGTTTCTGTGTTACTTAACCTCAATTCCATTTAAATATTCGCTTTCTGTGACTCTGATATTAAACTACAACTGAACAAGTGTCAAAGTTTCAAATAGCGATAAGCAACAGTTAAATTCGCCATACACTCTCGTGAAATTTTTAAACAGCAAAGAATTCGTATCTGAAATTAAGACTGAATATCAGACAAATTATATGATGGAAGCATTAATCAACAAGATATTTACAAAACCAAAAATAGCAAAGATTTATAAAAACAAAGACATAGCAAAAAATCTGGAGGTTCAAAATGGCGTCAAAAAATATGTCTCCCAGAAATGTGCTCAATCCTGTGGCGTTGTGCAAATAATGGTCGAAACCAAAGGAATAAAATGCATGTTCCACATGATCTACAATGTCCAACGAGAATTTACAGTTCAAACATGTGCTCGGTTTGAAAATCCTCTTTTAACATGGCCGCTGCCAGAACATAAAATTTACATTGTGTAAAGTTATGCCACACTTCGTCAATTTACGTGATGTGAAATTATGCCTTGATCCAAGTGCTTGGTTATAAACAAAACACATGATAGATAAACAACACAAAATGTCTCCGGCATTGCGAGAAAAGCTTCTCGGTGATGTAACTTTTCACGTTGCGAGAAAATATCTCGATGATGTAGCTTTGCATGTTGCCAGAAAAATATATCTCGATGATGTGATGATGATACCTCAATCAACGATATTATGAATTCTACCGTACTTCCACGGTCCTTTTCCCAGAGTGGGATAAGGTTAGGTTAGTTTTAACTGCCGTAAATGAACTATTAGCAATCTTGTGTGAGGACTTAAGAAGTGTTATAATGTAACACGTAAGCATAAGCATCCGGAAACTTATTCATGACTTAACAAACAAAGGACGAGTCCTGACTAAGTGAATCTCGCAAGTACTTTAGCGAAACAAATTTCAGGACCGTTAAATTGTGTTAGACTTAGTTAACGATTAAAATCCTAACATGAACTGTGCAACCCAACACACCTCGCTACCAACCCTCTCACTATAATTCCCTAGCAGCTACCAACTACCAGAAAAGAACTAAACGTGCACATGGTTGCCTATGTTTAACGATTTTGTTGAATAAATTTTCGTTCAAATTCAAATTATTCAAATGCGATTTCGCGCCGCGAAATTTTAATTCAAATTCGGTCACCACAATCTTTTGCAAAAAACTTGTTTTACTTTTGTCCAATAGTGTATATATATGTAGGCTTCCCGTAGATAACCTTTCTAGAATGTCAGGTCATTCTGTTAATAATTCTTCGTTTAGGAATGTAAGAAAATTGCAATTCGTAGTGATTCACTTTGGAAGGGAAAACTGCGAAAGAAACCCATGAAAAGATTTTTGTTACTTTGGGCGATTCATAGTTTTCTAATGAAGAATTTTGCGTTTGAGTTAATGAGTTCAAGCATGGAAGAAAAAAATACTTGTAGAGTGAAAAATATTTTAACAAAAATTAATTAATTAATTGTGGCCAGGGCTACTGTGTAATAATAGATACAAGTTTAAAGGTTTTTGTGAAGTAATAAAAATATGAAACGTCATTTACAATTTTATTTTTATCGCAAGAGATAAAATTATTATATAAGTTAGCCAAAATATAATTGGCACGCCAGTTCATTAAGAAGAGTGTTCGCAAACAGTACGTTATTTTTTATACAAAATTTCATAATACATTTTAATAGAACTGCCCTCAGCATTTTATATACTGCAAACTAGATTTTAATTTTACGGTGTTTTTAACTAGACTTATAATAGTTTTATATACAAAAATTAACATTAACTATTATTAACAAATATTGTTTTTATTTTGTGTTGCTCTACGCGTTAATTTATCATATACCAAATCTTCAACTGCATTTTCATTACGTTGTGTTTACCGACTACTCATTTTCAGATGATGCGCCAAATTTTGAGGATTTGTCTATTGATGGTAGTACTTAGTTATGCGTATTCGAAACACACAAACACTATAGAAAAAAGACAGTGCTCAGGCAACACCTGCAACACATGTAACGGTGGAAGTTGCAACACATGTAACGGTGGAAATTGCAACACATGTAACGGTGGAAATTGTAACACTTGTAACGGTGGAAATTGCAACGCATGCAACAACAATGTTTGCTGTTCAAGTGCAAGTTGTAACCAATGTGTTAACCAATGTTCCAACAACTGTAACAATAACGCATCTTGTAAAAATAATTGTGTAAGTGGATGCGCCACGGCATGCCAAGGAAATGATAATTGTGCGGCGTCCTCTTGCTCCCAGTGTGTGAATAAATGCTGTAATCAATGTTCCTCCGATACAACATGTGTAAACAATTGTTCTAAATCATGCGATTGTACTACACCTAGTCCTCGTACTAAAGAAGTGAATAATGATGTTGTATTTGTCCCATCTTCCGAAGCTTCAAAAGTTATTGTCAACAACACTAATAACAATCTGGTTAATCTAACTACACTCATTAACATCGACAATGTCGTTCACAACATCAATAACATAAGTATCCCAGTGTATGTGAACACCACCAACATTAATAACATTAATTTGTCTGAAAATCGTCAGTCGACTCAAACCGGCGGAAATCCTAGTGGATCTATCCGTAGGCCACCACCCGTAATCCCCTGGCCTCAGGGGTCTAGCGTTGTGGAGGGGAGCCAAACTTTTCCACAGATTTTTCCTCCACAGTTTGGTGACAACTGTTGCTATGTTTTGCACCCAAGGACGTGTTACAACGATACCGACGGTAACACCAGGTGTTACATCAGGAGAAGCCGAGAATGTTCCGATATATGTTCATCGCCGGTGATTTCAATAGAACAAGATGCAACAATAAATTCAGGATGTCAACGCGTTAATACTTGGCCTTACCAATATTGTGGAAACTATGTCCGTCGAGGTATGAATTAGTAACAGTTTTTTGAAATATTTTAAAGCGTTTTGATTAGATTGTGGCCAATGTTACACCTGTGGAGGAAGCTACAATCCAAGCCAGTGCTTTACCCAATCCGGATGTTCGGATGGTTGCAGAGGCGGGGCACCAAACTGCGTCCCGAGTCAGTATGGACTTCAGTGTTATTAATTTAAGAATTTACTACTTTCATTATTGTACTCATACATACGGATTTTTACAGTTAGCTAGTTTTTTATTATTATTAAGTTTTACTAAAACATTACTTCTTCTCATTTTGTTTTATTATTCCTACTTATTCTATGGACAAAATCTGCTCTATTGCCTCTTACTTGGCGTGGTGACTTAGGTACAAATTAAATTTAGAAAACCAGAAAAATGGCTAAAGTTTGTTTGACACAAATTTGAAATATCCGGCCCCTGTTTACTCAATTATTTATTAAAATATTTTATTTATGTAAAGCGCAATGGATTTTTTAATACGATTTCTACTAATGTACCAGATAATCTCATAGGTACTTATATTTAGTTCTGAAGATCTACAAAATACAGTTTATAGAAGAACAAATTAATTCATAAAGCTACAGATATATGTATAGAATATGTATCATGATTTCAACGCTAGATCAATAAAGAGGAATGTTTTATCTTTGCGGAATTATATTTTATGACGTATTAAAGCATCAAATTCATTTTTAATTATGAGCAAAAAAAAATTATTGCTGTATTATAGACAAGAAATATGATTAAGATGTTGGCTAATATTAGAAAATTGATAAAAAATGTGTCGTTCATCGAAATTTTTGGATGGTTTATCAATAACCTCTGAACTATTAGATGTTACTAAAAACCTTGATTAATCAACTACATAACTGATACAAAATATTACATAATAACGGTTATTCCAATTATTATCGTTATGACGCAAAAACTGATATCAAAATAAATAAATAAATATATAAATAAATAATCAACATAAAGTCAGAGTTGTGAGATTTACATCAGAATTCAATTTTTCCCTTATGTGCTTGTTGTTAATTATAGGTGTCCTTTCGTACTGCCTTCCTAATAATATACATCAAATAATATAGAGATACCCCTTGGTACAATAATAATAATTAATCTACTAACTACGTTAACTCGGATGCATTCACGACTATTTATTCGATACGAGTATGTACATATACAAAGAAAACCCGGAAGAGTTAAATCTTTTATTTTGCATTAAACCGATAACGAGAGACTTCTCAGAAATTTAAATTTGTAATTATTCTGTTAGCTCTTCTCGCTGTTGTTTAAATAATTCGGGTCGACCGCCAGAAATGTTTCACTCGCTACAATAAGATAAAGAATAGAATTGGACCTGAAATAATTAAGAGATAGAAATGGAGGACGAAGAAAATCACAGGAAGAGGAAGAGCGACAGAGAGAAAGACGAATCTGATAAAGAAGAGATATCAAAAAAAGTAAAAAAACGGGGAAATCAACATAGAAGAGTTAATGAACATGATACAAAGCATGAGTAACACAATAAACGAAATGTCTAGTGGAATAAAAAAAACGAGAAAGGAACAAAGAAAATACAGAAGAGAAATGCAAGAGCTTAGAGCGGAAAATAAGAAACTAGGAGAAGAAATTGAAAAATCAAGAAAACTATAAATGGATTAGAAAACAGGTTAGAACGAATGCAAAATGAGAAAAGAAAAAAAAAACGTGGTGTTACAAGTACTAAAAATAGATACTTATGACCGAGAAGAGTTAAAAAAAGGCAGAAAGCTTTATAGATAAGTCACTAAATGTAAATGTAGAAATCAAGAGTGTTGCGAAGCTAGGGGAAAAAACATGTTTACGAAATTGGCAAAATATGAGGATAAGATAAAGGTAATGCTGAACAGAAACAAATTAAGTACGAAAATAGGGGAAAAGATATTTATTCAAGATGATTTATCGAAAAAAGATAGAGAAATACAAAATCAAATTATAATAAGAGCAAAAAAAGGAAGAGAAAACGGACAAGTCACTAAAATAAGGTATAAAAAACTGTTAATAGGAACTGAAGAGTGGAAATAGAACAACGTAAAAGAAAACCTGATAAAAACGAAGCAGCTTAAAATTCCAAAAAACTAAAAAATGAAAACACTCAAGTCAGGAACAAAGGACCAGGCAAAGAAAAAATATATAAATACCAAATGAAACAATATAGAACGAATAGTAACAGAAGCGACAAAAAGACATGTGAGTGAAACAAAAGCAAGAGAACGGAAAGAATGGTTAGACGAAGAATGCGAAGCAGAAATAAAACATTAAAAGTTACTCAGAATGAAAATGTTGCAGACAAGAAAGGAAGAAAATACAAGGAATTATAACAGTCAAAGAAAGATAGATAAACAAATATGCCGCAGGAAAAGAAGGGATCGAATTTTTTAGAAAGACAAATAAAAACTATAGAGGAGATAAGAAACTTTTATAAAGACATACAAAACGTAAAGTCAACAAATCACGAATCTACGCAATATATAAAGATGTAGAAGGCAACTTAATAGGCGACGATGAAGGGAAATTAACATCATGGAAACAGTACTTCAAACAAATATTAAACAGCGAAATCAGAGGTCAGACAGAAGAGCAGAAACAAGTACCAAAAAAAAGAACTTGGATTTCTTGGCATTCTTAAACTCCTTGGGTTTTTTGAATTTCTTTTCTTCGATTTCTTAGAATTTTGGAATTCTGGAATTTTTGGGATTTATTTGAATCCTTAGGGTTCTTGGATTTTTTAGATTCTTGGGATACTTGGAATTCCTACCATTCTAGAATTTCTTGTGATTCTTGAAATTTTTGGGATTGTTGGGGTTCTTGACATTCTTGGATTTCTGGAATTTTTGTAATTCTAGGAAATATCAGATTTCTTGAATCTTTTATATCTTCTGCATCTTTTTACATTTTTTTGTCTTCTATTTCTACATTTTTTTTGGGTTTCTTAGATTCTCTGGGCTTCTTGGGTTTCTTGAGATTTTGTAATTCTAGGAAATATCAGATTTCTTGAATCTTTTATATCTTCTGCATCTTTTTACATTTTTTTGTCTCCTATTTCTACAATTTTTTGGGTTTCTTAGATTCTCTGGGCTTCTTAGGTTTCTTGAGATTTTGGGTTTCTTTGGCATGTTGGGTTTCTTGAATTTCTTGGATTTTTTGGAATTAGATATCTTGGATTCTTGGATTTCTTGGAATTCTTAGATTCTCTAGATTTCTTGGATTTCTCTGAATTCTTGGAATTCGTGACATTTTTTCTTGGATTTCTTCTGATTTTTGAGATTATTGGGTTCTTGCAATTTTTGGCATTCTTGATATTCTTGGGTTTCTTGGATTTTTTGGCACTCTTATAACCTTGGAATTCTTGGATTGTTTGTAATTCTTGAATTTTTCGGATTTTTTGGAATTCTTGGATTCCTTAGGTTTCTTGAATTTCTTGGAATTTTTAAGATTTCCACTTTTAGATTTTTCGAATTCCCAATTTTTAAATTCTTCAATTTTCTAAGTTTTCGAATTACCAATTTTTCGATTTATTGGTTCTCGATTCCCGATTTTTCGGATTCTCAATTCTCTATGTTCGGTGTTTCGAATTCTCAAATATTTTGATTTCCCAAATTCTCAATTCTCGAATTTTCGATTTTTCGAATTTTTAATGTTTCCATTTTTAGATTTTTCCAATTCCCAATTTTTGATTTTTAACGAATTTTCAATTCTTGCATTCTTCCCTTTTCTTGAATTCTCGAATTTTAATTTTATTTTCAATTTTCGATTTTTAGAATTTGAATAGTCCTATTTAATTTTTATATTTCTCGATTTTTCCCATTCTCAATTTCTCGGTTTCCCTTTTTTTGGTTCCCGATTGTTCGGTATTTCGATTTCTCGGTTTTCAATTTCTCCACTCCTCAAATTCTCGATTCTCGATTTTTCGATATTTAGATATTTTTCTTTCTCAGAATTTTCTAATTTGCAATTTTCGGTTTTTCGGTGTTTCCATTTCTCCCTTTTCAAATTTTTAATGTTTTGATTTTTCGTTTTTCCCATCTTTCTACTTTCCGATTTTTCGAATTTTTAATACTCCTATTTGGATTTTTCGTTTGTCGATTTTTCCATTTTTCGGTTTAATGATTTTAAAATTTATTGATTTCTCAATTTTCGACATTTCAATTTTGATTTTTCGAGTTTTCAGTTTCCGATCTTTCGGTATTTTGATTTCTCGTTTTCATCAATTTCGAAAATTGCCAACGGAAATTTTTTATAGATTTCGACCTCCAGAAGCTATTTTCGGTTTCATAGCTTCCAAAATTTTTACCATTTTTCCACAATGTGACAATTTTTAAGATTTTTTTTTAATTTAATTTCAAATCGAATATTTCGAAAATGATGCTCCGGGATCACAAACACGCTATATTTTTCTAATCAGTACGTGAAGACCTATATTATCACCTGCGAGAAGCTTAATATATATATAATGATTTAATTACTTTTTTTGCGTCAACCTGTATAAGCAAATCGAAAAAATATGTATGCAAATGCAGTAATTTGAAGTCAATGTAGATTTAATCTGAATAATAAAATATAAATAAAAAATTAAAACATTCTGAAACATAAAAATTAATAATGTATTATCCGTTCACGATCTTTATATAGTAGGGTTGGCCATGAAAATCTAGGGAGTTGTTGGTATTCGATGCAGAAGAATAAAAATTCCCTAAACTTTTTTCGTTAGGTTATGTTTCATTAAATTAAACGTTAAAAAATATGCCAGAAATATAAACATTGTTGCCGATACTTTCAGTTTTCAGTAGCAATGACCAAGTTAACGGTATCCATTTCTTAAGACAACATAAACTTTTTTAAAATAATTTTCTAGTTCTGACGTCATGAAATGGACCCCGACTTCGATGCCGAATTCACACAGAAAATGATGTAGGAATTTTTCCACAACCATTATAAACACATCTATCACTCAACTTTCTTTATTAAAATTATCCTTTTTTATAAAACTTGTGTCAAACTTCATATATCCCTGATATACATAAAAAAATATATACATATAAAACTTATTACTATTTCCTACTTACACTAAATCTCAGTACAAAACCAATATGCTTATGCACTATAACGCAAACATAATTAAATTAAAAATCTTGATGACAATTGTTCATTTACAGACTTTTCTTTACAGTAATATTATCTTCCTATAACACTTATTTAATATCATTGACTTAAAACATGATGTTATCTTAAATTGCAGCTGACAAAATATACATACATATACTAAAAAATACTACTAGCGTTACCATAACTCATTTGCCGACACCTTATTGATAAAACAGTCTTTAAAACCCTTAATTGAAGTCTTTGATTGCAACCAGACATCAGTACTGCCAAGTGTAGCTGGTTGATTCACATTAACATGATCCACTTCTTTCAAACAATAAACATTATTTGAATCTTTAAATATTTCCAAATTATCACAGCACAACAATTGAGTTTTTACATAATTCAAACTTATTACAGTATGTTTCACACTAGGTGAAAGTGAAAGTGGTTTGCTTGGAATAAAAATACTGTCTTCTTTAATCCCGAGATCCTTAGTTCCAGTCAACTTTAGAAATATGTACATGTTGCTACATGGTAATGAGTTTTCGATTAAATTCATCCAATGGTTGTCAAGAAAAATAGTCCTAAAAAAATAGTTATTATTCCCAAAACAAAGAGAAAAAAGCAACGACAGACTTACCTTAAAACTTTTGGTTGTTTTTTACTGTTTTCGGCTGCGTGATTTCGTTCTATGTGATCATGTGCCATGGAAGAGATTTTAATCGTAAATACCTCTTTTGGACACAGTGGTGTCACACCTATCACAAACACCACTTCTTTTAATTTAAATCCGTAACAAGCAAATACTTTAATTATATTTGCCATTACAGTCTCCGTTGAATCATAAACTGTTGATACTACTTGATAATGCCTACTGAGGGTAAAATTGGAAGTATTTTTACTATCATCATCTTCTAAATTACGTCGTTTCTTGTTTATTATGTTCTTTAACCACGCATAAGGATACGGTATTTGCGATCTATGGTATAAAAGATTCTTCATAACTTCGTTTACCAACAAGGCGCAAGAACCGGGGGTTAAAATAAAATCGGAAAGCGTAAGATTTATCACAGAATTCACACCGCTTTGATTCGTTAACTTGTTGGAAGTCGTCATGGTGTAGTTACAATATCACGTACCACGTCCAAGATGATTTTATTAATTTGCACGATTTTTTAAAAAACTAAGTTTGTCGAAAAGAGGTTAGGATCACATCAAACGTCAACTGAAATCACGCTTAAACACCTTGGAAACACACCTGGAACAAGTATGTCGAAGTCCAAGAGATGGCGACACTTCAGAAAAAGACAATTCTTATGGAAAAAGGATAAATTTTGTTGATGTGATGTAAAATTTTTAGCATCAGTATCTACCCTAGTCCAGATATACACAGACATTTTTTTTAACTTTGAACATACACCATAAGGTCCCTATAAAAAAAATGTTCAAATTGAAATAAAAACACATCAATGTATGTAAGTATGCAACCAATATTACACCAAACTTAGTTGATATCCATTCACGATCTTTATATAGCAAGGTAGGCTTAAGGGGTAAACCGCAGCGGAAATCAATTGTACATGCTAGAGGAAATCAAAGGAAATCACAGGAAATCAAAAAGGGAATCGGAGGAAATCAAAGGAAATCAAGAGGAAATCAACGAGAAATCAACAAGAAAACAAAGGAAATCCAAAATCATCGCAGCAAATCCTTTTAAGGGCATAATGATAGAAAATTTCAGTATAATATCATTAACTGACAGCATGATATTTCAGCTTTACAAATATGAAAGTTGTAGTTAATGAAGTGCAGTTCCGATGAGAAATGATACATTATATTGGTTTATACATACAAACCAAATTTATAATGTCACACCAAATTAGTTTTTAAAAATTGAGTTTGTGATATGAGGTACCAAATTCATTAAGTTCAGGTCGTGCAAAAATCTTACTAATGATATGTTCTTGCCTTGGAAGTTTAGCTCTCAAACTTGTGAGAGTATGTTTAGAAGCCTTAGATCAATGACCTCAACTTTAGCACAATTGTTAATTTTAATATAAGAGATATGTTGCATCGAAGTGACAGACTGCAAACTATAAACAACATTAAAAACGATTGGGATAAAAATTCGTTTTTCCTAGAGAAATCAGGAAAAAAACTTCAATCATGAAGAGAGATTTTGTGAAAAATGATGACTTAGGAAACATTTCAGATAAAGATATACAGAGCACTGTAGAATCAGCTTTACGGGATTGTCTGCGTGACACTGAAGATTTAGGAATGAAAGTGATAAATTTCAACTATGTATTTTTGCCTCCGTGTAAAGACAATGAATGCAATGACGAAGTTGAAGATGAAATGTTTAGTGAAGAACAGTGCGATCACATTGAAAATTACAACAATTCTCAAATAGCCATGAAACGTAACTGATTTCAAAGTTTGGAAAACGATCCAGTTGACCAAGATGAAGATTTATTGAATGATCTTTGCACAATTTCGTACGAATCTAAGAAATTTGACAGAGACATACACCTTAGAAGTTTTGATAGTGACGATATTTTTGTTGAGAAAGGTGATCTAGTCAGAATACGCTACAACAAAAGTTATAAAAAAGTCTTCACTTTGCTGGCTGTTAGACAATGAAAAGGATCGCGTCAGTGTGGATCGTCTCAAAAGATTTATTCAAAATAAGAAATGTAATAGTAGTAGAGTGCCTTCAACATAAAGATGCATCTCAAATTCAAAAACCAGTCCAAATTGGAAAACAAAAAAGACGCTATAATATATCAAGTGACTCATCTGATTTAGACAACTCAGGTAGTATCGAATATGATGACAGCACGGACACCGAAAGTTTGAATTCTTCCAATTATTCTGATGATTTGAATCCTTGTTTGAATCTCAAGGCTGAAAATAGTAAGACTGATCGTTCTAAACCAGACTTAAATATAGACGATTATATTATAGTACAATTAACAACTCAAAAACAAAACAAAATATGTTACATTGGTAAAGTGTTATCACTTAACCCTGTTTTTTGTGATTTTTTGAAAAGGAATCCAAAAATTCCGGATGCTTTTATGTTTCCGGACATTAAAGATCAGGGGGAGATCCAAGAAAATGAATAAATAAGGAAACTACCTCCACCTCAGGTACTCAGAAGAGGCAGTTCAGTTTTTGGAAAAAAAATTATTGAAAAAATATTTGATTTAATTCTAGTTTTTTTTAAGTGATGTGATTAAAATTTGTGATTATGTAACCTCAACCTGGGTCGAGATTTGTACAAGTATATATCGTAGAGAATACTAAAGTAAGAAACTGTGCAAAATTCTAGGTGCCCATGAACACTTTTAAAGGGGAAAATTACCTCTGTAAATTTATCAAGTGGGGTTATCCACTCCTTTATTGTGCAAAACAAAATTCTTACGTGTTAAATTTTGCATTTCAAAAGTTTTTTTTTAATGTGCTTCATTTGAAAGTTGTGAACAAAAAAAAAAATTAAAAGTGTTATCATCTGTAGTTATGGGTAGCTAGAATTTAGCACAGTTTTTTACTTCAACATCATCTACAATATATACACAAATCTCGACCCAGGTTATGGGGTAAGTATTTTTTAAGAAGTTGTTTTCTTTGTGATATTTTGTTATGATCCAACAGAAATCCTTTACTTTTATGTTTAGAGTTACCGTTTTTTTTTTAACATTTAATAAAATAAATGAAACTACTTGTTTTTTCTACTATAATAAATGAAAGGCGTTTCAAATTTGCAGACCACAGTTTATCTTGCAGACTGGGGGTTAAAAATGCTCCAATCAAGTTGAAACTCAACATTTGCTTATTTCTCAATACGAAGATTATTGACACAAAATTTCAACCCGATCGGAGAAACCGTTAAAAACTACCCCTAAAACAACCTTGCAGACTAGGGCTTAAAAATACTCTAATCAATTCAAAATTTAACATTCGCTAGTTTTTCAATACGAGGATTATTGATGCAAAATTTCAGCCCAATCGGAGAAACCCTCAAAAATCATCCCCAAAACAACCTTGCAGACTGGGGGTAAAAAATGCTTCAATCAAGTTGAAACTCAACATTTGCTTATTTCTCAATACAAAAATTATTGACACAAAATTTCAACCCGTTCGGAGAAACCGTTAAAAACTACCCCCAAAACAACCTTGCAGACTGGAGCTTAAAAATACTCTGATCAAGTTAAATTTTGACAATCCCTAGTTTTTTAATACGAGGATTATTGATGCAAAATTTCAGCCCATTCGGAGAAACCCTCAAAAATCACCCCTAAAACAACCTTGCAGACTGGGGGTTAAAAATGCTCCAATCTAGTTAAAACTCGATATTTGCTTATTTCTCAATACGAAGATTGTTAATACAAAATTTCAACCTGTTCGGAGAAACCGTTAAAAACTACCCCTAAAACAACCTTGCAGACTAGGGCTTAAAAATACTCTAATCAAGTCAAAATTTGACATTAATGTATTTTTTATTATTTTATTGTTAATTATTAATTAATTTATTAACATTTAAATTTAAAAAATATATAAATTACGAATATAGGAGTATTTGTTGCAGATACGTGAATTATGATAATTTGAGTTCATGTTTATCGCTGTTAGATAATTGTTGCTACTATGTAAGAATGCATAAGTTCGGCATTTTTTCGTCCAATCTCTCATTTTTTGTGCGTTTTTACACGTCATTTTTGCTGTTAACTTGGTTCATTCAGTACATACTATATGCTGGTTCTGAGTTCTTTGAGATATAATTAAACCTTCATCATCAGTCAAAAAATACAAAGTTAGTGGTGTCCAAAATAGAAAATTTAAAATTCAGAGGAAACAAAATCTTAAAGACATTTTAAAGAAAATTAGAGACATTTTTAATTTCCGAGAAACTTAACGTAAAAAAAACGTTTTGAGAGAAAGTTTAAATTAATAATAGGAAGCTCAAACTTAATTTTATTTGAATTTCAAAAAGAACCCAGAAATGTGCTAATTTCTTAATTAATTATTTATTATTATTAATGGGAAAACAGATAAAGATTCGTTATTTTCAATACGACGCAAAATTGTCTTCATATGTAGGTTTGGATGGTGTCCACGTCCATTTCTCTAACTGTCTGGTAAATTGTTCTTCTTAATTGTTCTTCTAAATTGGCTTCCCAGCCGTTGTTGTAAACCTTTCTACTTAGTATTCTCCAAATTTTGTTTTCGATTGTTCGCACTGGGGGCACTATGGGGGGATTACCTTTTCTTAGGTACAAAACTTATATTATTGCTTTCTAACCAATCCCTAGACATTCTAGTATAATGGCAACTTGCTAAATTTGGCCAAAATATTACATCGTCGTTATTATGGTGTTCCCATATATTTTTATGTATTGACCGCGTCACCTCTAGTACGGCCAATGAATTGTGCTGAAACGCCGGCCGGAGATATAGCCCATCAAACCAAAATTTTATCTTCAAACTTTGCCTTCGACTTAAATTTTACTTGTAATTTCTTCTATATTGTTTGTGTAAAATCAATCGTTACCTTCCATCTCTGAATGAGCAAACGTAAAATATTTTTCATCGCCCAGCACAACCACACGATTGTCCAGAAAATGATGAATTCTCGATAGTCGGCAACATCTAAGAATTCTTTCTAACTGCGATGCTGTATGTTTTGAACATTTAGCTCTTTTGCTGTATTTTAAGTTGTTTTTGCCTATTTCTCTAGAAACTGTTATATAGGATTTAGAGTTCTCGATCGAGCCAATCTTCTTGTTGATGTTCCAGGTTCTTGTCTTTCTTCTTAATCTTTCTAAACTTATTGTGGTATTGCTACCTCGCAGTCTTTAATTGTTCTGTATATAGTTGCGCGTGTAATATATTTGGTCCAAAATATATTCACAATTTCACTTTTAGATACTTGGGTAACTAACTGGTATATGGCTCTTTGCAACTCTATTTTGTATGACATTGTTTAAGCGTTAATTGACATAAATCTATGACATAAAGTGTATAAAATGGGAAATAAGAAAGGTTGTTTGGTTACGCTGTTGCAAATGTAACTTGATTCGATTGCATTTTAAGTTAAAAAAAAGATAGGAGTATTTGTAAATTTTTCTCAAAACTCTTTTACGTAATAGCGGTGAAAGTGACATAGAATTGGAAAATCTTCGTAAAAGTAAAGACGACTACAGTTAAGACTAATCTAGTTGAGTGCATGTATTTAGGCAAATTTTAGTTGCATTGATAAATTAAATTCTTAGATGGAAATAACGATATAGATGTGAAAATTCAAGAAAAAAAATATAGAATTTGAAAATATACATGATTTTAATCTTTCCAATGGAACTACATACTTTATTTATAAACTGTTGACACATGATGTACAAATTAACAAAAAAAAGAAGACAAATAAACGCAAAATTTAATTTAATTTAACAAAATAACAGAAACAGACCAATTAGGATATTTTCTTAATTAAAATAATAAAGGAGGCTGTTGTTGTAAACAGTGTTTTTCATCATTTGATTATAAGTTTGGCAGTTAATAAACGTTTTCACGCGAAAACAATGCCGTTAACTCTTACAGAGGTCTCCCAAATTGTCGCTCTGTTTCTGTTATTTTGTTAAATTAAATTTAGTTCTGCGTTTATTTGTCTTCCTTTTTGTTGCTAATTTATACATCATGTGTGAATGGTTCTTTAATAAAATAACGATTACTAGTTAAATTAACAATTTTTAAAGTTCGGTTTTGCGAAATTTTACAGCGTGGTAGGTTTTTGCCGGTCAGTGTATATGCATTAAAATACAGTTATAAAAGGTAACAAAACAATATTTTTCATAATTAACAATGCATATTAAGATCATTAGATGATTAATTATTGTAGGAATTAGCTCGGTTTGCGCAAAGGTGGAGATAACACAACAACCGTAGCAACGAATCTTAACCAATTAAAAACTCCAGTAAATTTGCTGCTGCTGCTTTTATATGCTTTCTTATGAAATTATTTTTGTTTTATGCCTAGTATCCCGCAAACGCTTTCGAGCACGCCACTGGAACAACCAGTTTCTCGGAGGACCTGGAAGAATCATTTATGACCCTAGTACTTAGAAAGCGCGGTACCAGGCATTTTTTCAAACAATCTTCCCTCCTCTCATTCTACCTCTATGGTGCGCACCTACTTTAGACATAATGTACTGTCTCTGTGTGTCTATATGTGTCTGAAATTTTTCTGCTACTTGTACTTTAAATGAATGTCAACTATCAATCATTTTTATAAGTTGCTTCAAGGTGACTAAAATTTGACATGATAATTTTTTGTGTAAAGAACTCAGCAAGTGGTAACTTTCGACTCAGTTGGAGTATTTTTAAGCTCCCGTATGAAAGATTGCTTTGGGGTACTTGTTAAGAGCAGCTTAAAAAAAGCTGTTTTTTTTGCACTATCACTTCTCGTATAGATAAAAACTAAATACCAAGTTTCGATTTGGTAATAATATTATTAAGGCCCAGTCTTCAAGGTTGTTTTGGGGGTAGTTTTTAACGGTTTCTCCAAACGGGTTGAAATTTTGCATCAACAATCTTCGTATTGAGAAATAAGCAAATCTCGAATTTTGACTTGATTGAAGTATTTTTTACCCCCAGTCTGCAAATCTGTCTGGGGGTAGTTTTTAAGGGTCTTTGCGAACGGGTTAAAATTATGTGCCAACAATCTTCGTATTGAGAAATAAGCAAATGTCGAGTTTTGACTTGATTGGAGTATTTTTAATCCCCGGCCTGCAAGGTTGTTTTGGGGGTGATTTTTGAGGGTTTCTTCAAATGGGCTGAGATTTCGTATCGATAATCCCCATATTGATAAACTAGCGAATATAAAATTTTGACTTGATTGGAGTATTTTTAAGTCCCAGTCTGCAAGGTTGTTTTGGGGGTGATTTTTAAGGGTTTCTCCGAACGGCTTGAAATTTTGTATCAACTATCTTCGTATTGAGAAATAAGCGACTGTCGAGTTTTGACTTGATTGAAGCATTTTTAATCCCCAGTCTGCAAGGTTGTTTTGGGGGTGATTTTTGAGGGTTTTTTCGAATAGGCTGAAATTTTATATCGATAATCCTCGTATTGAGAAACTAGCGAATATCAAATTTTGACTTGATTGGAGTATTTTTAAGCCCCAGTCTGCAAGGTTGTTTTGGGGGTGGTTTTTAAGGGTTTCTCCGAACGGGTTGAAATTTTGTACCAACAATCTTCGTATTGGGAAATAAGCAAATGTCGAGTTTCGACTTGATTGCAGCATTTTTAACCCCCAGTCTGCAAGATAAACTGTGGTCTGCAAATTAGACAGGCCCGTTACTAACTGCTATTCTTGGTTATTTTTGACCGAATCAATTAATTTTGATAAGAGCAGTGCGGTTAACAATTCTAATCTAGGTGTAGTAATGGTTTTCAGCGGCGCAAACCGCGAACGAACATACCTACATACACACATGCACCGAATGCTTCTTAAGACGCGTATAAGGCCCGGTATTTCATTTGTTGGTTAAAATCGTAGTTAACAAACCATGGTTATACTTTTACCAAAATTTTAACCAAGAACCGGTATTGCAGTAGTGAAACTTTGATTAAGTATATTTTGGTTATCTATTCAAAAATTTTCTTAAGTTGGTATCACTATTGGTCTTACGAGTTCAAAAGAGCATGTGCAAGAATCTAGATAGTCTAATAATCCTTCATATTTTGAATATTTTTAACCTCACTCTTGTCTTATTTGCATTTTGCCTGTGAAAAAGTCTTGTAACAATACTATGGTTATATTGTAAGCGAATCACTTGAAAAATAGGAAAATGACAAATACTTCAGTCTCTATCACTAGAATACTACTGTGTAACGATAACGTCACATTTTTCCCCAATATGCGCAGCTAATTCTTGCGGCCTTTTAATCGGAAAAAGTGCGGACTTTCGACTAACGCGGACAGGTGGTGTAAATTGGTTTTATTGTTTGTAAATTCACCGATCAGGTTAGGGTTTTAATCGTTAGCTCTTTCTAACACAATTTAACAGACAGGAAATTAATGGTGCGACCAAACAACAACAAATTGCTGAAGATCTGAATCTTGTCCACGAACTAACGTCAGATTTGCAGGTCAAAGAGCCAACTATTCCACCGACACATCTAGGCAAATTTGATGCGTCCAATCAATCTCGAGCACGGCCAATTCGTATTAAATTAAATTCTGTTGATGATGTTTTCACAGCAATTGGTAATGTAAAAAAAATTACATGCATTAAATAAATGGACCAACATAAACATATCTCGAGATCGAACACCTATGCAAATCAAACTATTCCATTCAGTAAAAGATGAACTAAAGCGTCGAACTGACAGTGGTGAGAATTTGAAAATTTTATATCGTGGTGGTATACCCACAATTGTGTCTTCGAAAAACTAAAGAGCTCCAACAGGAATTCAACAAATGTCAGCATATACTACCAGAATGTTCGTGATCTCAACTCTAAAACCCACACGTTTTTTTCAAACTGTTGTGACATGTCTTTTAATATAATAGCGCTCACTGAAACATGGTTAAACGATTCTGTCTCTGATTCTGAATTATTTCCTGATTTATACAGTATTGTTCGTTCTGATCGAAATTTTTCAATTACAGGTCGCAGTAAATGTGGTGGTGTTCTCGTTGCATTTTCTAATTCTGTTAAATATACTGTTATTGATACCAAGCATGTCTCAAACTTAGTTTCATTAATTGATGTTATCTTGTGTCGGTGTGTATTTGGTAGAATAATCAAATTCATATTTTGTGTTACATATATACCCCCTGACGTTACCTCCACTGATTTAGAGCTATTTTTAATTGCACTAGAAGTACATTTACTTAATGAGGATGTTATTCTAGTTGGTGATTTCAACGTCCCTCACTTTTGCGATGTTAATCCGCCTAATTATCCTAAAATTCCTCTCATTCAACAATTTTGTGATTCCCTTCTTCTCGTTCAGCATAATACAATTCTCAATTGTAATCAGCAGTTACTTGACCTAGTTCTTGTAAACAACCAAAATTTTACAATGGATCTTGAACATAATGTGCCAGCTCTTGTACCTGAAGATGCTCACCACCCTTCACTTGCCGTAAGCTTAGAATTCTTAGCATCATCTGCTACCCATAAGTTTCCTGCAGCCAATAATGTACGCTACAACTTTAGGAAAGCCAACTTTCCTAAACTTTACAAAGATTTATTGAAAGCAGACTGGACATTTCTCGACAATTTCGGTGACGTAAATATTGCACTGGACAATTTCTATGAATATCTATATACGCTTCTAGACCAAAATGTTCCAAAAGTTTCCGGTTGTTCATCTTCTAAGTTTCCATATTGGGTTACGAATGAAATAAAAAACAATATCAAAACCAAAGAAAATTTCAGACGTAAGTGCTTGAGAACCAAAAATAATGTCTTCTATAATGAATATAAAAGGCTAAGATCTCTCGTGAAAAATCAGTTGAATAGTGCATATCATGATTACATCAACCAAGTGGAGATTAACTTACAATCAAATCCTTCTGGATTGTGGAGTTTCATAAACGTCAAAAAAGGAACGTCTAGAATTCCCAGCTACACGATCGACGAGGAGCACAATGAATATACTAATCCACAAGATATTGTAGACGCATTTGCAAAAACTTTTGCAAATGCACAAACTAATGACTCGTCAACCTCCTTTTTACCCACTTATGAAAACTCTTCAATTTGTTCAGTTTTTCCAGTTAGCCAAAACGAACTAATATCAATAATGAAAAACTTTCCTAATAAACTGACAGCCGGTGATGATTCAATTCCAAGTTTTGTTCTTCGATATTGTAGTTCTGCATTTGTTCTACCACTGTCCATAATAATTAATTTGGCCTTAAAAACAAATACTTACCCAGAACACTGGAAAATAGCCAGAGTCATCCCCATATTTAAAAAAGGTAGTTCTCAACTCCTCAACAACTATCGCCCAATATCTATTTTATCGAATTTTTCAAAGGTGATGGAGCAGGTATTATATAAACCAATTTACTACAGTGTCCGGCCCTACATATCGCCATACCAACATGGTTTTGTAAAAGGCAGATCCACTATTACTAATTTATCTGTGCTAAGTCAGACACTAGTCCAAGAAATCGATAATCAAGGTCAAATTGATGTCATCTACACTGATTTTTCTAAGGCCTTTGATTGCATCCCACACAGAATTTTACTTCGTAAACTTAATAACTTTGGCTTCTCAGCTTCACTTTTACAATTAATATGCTCTTACATCGACAATCGCGTGAATTATATTTCTTATAATGGGTTCAGGTCCTATTTATTTATATCTAATAGCGGCGTTCCGCAAGGTTCTAATCTTGGACCGTTACTTTTTAACATATTCGTAAATGACTTGCTATTATCTCTTAGTTGTCCGGTTCTTGCTTATGCTGACGACCTCGAAATATACTCAAAAATTTCCTGCATTGACGATACCCTACATTTGCAAACCAATCTTGACAAAATCGTGCAGTGGTATAATAATAATATTTTTAAAATTAATAAAACCTAATGCTTCTTTGTATCATTCTCCCGTAAAAACACCCTTACTGAGTTTTCATATTCAATTGATGGATTTTTTATTACTAAAAAAGAGTCAATCAAGGATCTTGGTGTAATATTTGATGAACGCTTAACATTTAACTCACACATTGAACACATAGCGAACTCAGCTAACAAGTCCTTAGGTTTTATCATGAGGGTATCTAAGTATTTCCGTAATGTCAACCTGATCAAAATTCTGTTTTATGCCTTTGTTTTAAGCAAGTTAGAATACGCATCTTTAATTTGGTATCCGATATACATCACGCAGCACATGGTCCTAGATAGAATTCTGAAGAAATTCTTGAAGTTTCTATCATTTAAATGTGATGGAACGTACCCTGAACGGGGTACGGATATGTCACTTCTCCTTGAACGGCATCAAATGTCGTCACTTTCTTCTAGAAGAGATTTTCACTGTGCCCGCTTTCTTGCAAAACTGGTTTCTAACGAAATAGATTGTATAGATCTTCTTAGTAATATAAGCTTCAATGTTCCACGGCTATCTTCTAGATTTGTACAAACATTCAAGATCCCTAGAGCTCGTACCAACGTTTTACGTCGTGCACCTATTTACACAATGAGTTGTTGTGGAAATAATTGTTTAGAAGATATATTTTGTTAAATTGTAACTACGATAGTATTATTATTTTATTTATATATTTATTAATGTAGTGTACAATTAGTTATTGTTGTCCTGTAATTGGGAAATTAATCCTGTTTTACAATAAAGTATATATTATTATTATTATTATTATAACAGACATTAGATTTAATTAAACAGACACTTACTAGGAGATTTCATGAAATTCACTTAGTCAGGATAACAAACTTTGTTTACAAGTTACGAATGAGGTTTCTGGATACATATACGTAAGTGTTACATTATAACACTTCTTAATTTTTCTTCCCTTAGGCAGTTATCATCGTTATTAGCATCGTTATCCTCATTACATCACCGAGGTATCTCCTCGCAAGGGTAAAAATTGATTCCATCACCGAGGCATTTCCTCGCAACGATAAAGATTAATTACATCACCTAGGCATTTCCTCGCAACGCTAAAATTTACATCACCGATACGCTTATTCTTCCCAACGATGACTGGATATTTCTGTTTATTTATAAACCCAATTTTTAAAAAGTAATGACTTAAGTTATTATTATAAGTTTGATTTAGTAGGTCAAACTTTAACATGATCTTGTATGCCAACACAGAGATGAACCTAATAGAATGATTTTGGGCTATTTGGTATTCATTAATTACCTCTGTGAACGTATGAGCCAATCGTTGTTGCCTTATGAGTCACTGATAAATGAAAACTGCTGACGTAACTAAAAATATCCTTGGCCTTATGTACTTTTAATTTCGTAAAGTCAAAAGCAAAATTTCATAATATAATTTATTAAAAAATTAATAATAATATATAATATAATTTATTAAATCTTTGAGTGATTTAAACGAACTAATTTGTACACACCAGACATTTTTAATTTCAAAATTAAAATAGACCATAAGGTTTTCTGACTGAATGTGCAAAAAATCTAGAATATGACTTATGTCCACTTTTAGAACAAACCTTTGACCCAAAAAAGTGTAAAATTCGAACGTATACTTACTCTATTGATTTAGACATCTAAAACCTCGATTTCAGAGTAGCGTTCTTTTTGTAAGTAAAATCAAATTTTTTTTCTTAAACATTTCAGTTTGTTGCTTAGCAGCACAATACATTTTATTTATTTATTTTTTTCGTCTAAAAAGGGAAATCACTTCAGCTTACCTAGTCACCGTAGGTTAGTAAACACTTGGTAAAAAAAGGTTTAAATTCAACATCATCATCGGCAAAAGTTAACAATCGCCCTGTAGTACATTATGTAAACAAATTTTGAGGAAATCAAAAGGAAATCATAGGAAATCACAGGAAATCATAGGAAATCAAGAGGAAATCAAAGAAAATCAAAAGAAATCACAGGAAATCAAAGGAAATCAGAGGAAATCAAAAGAAATCGGGGGAAATCAACAGGAAATCATTATCAAAAGGAAATTAATTGTACACTTGATGGTCGGCGGTTTACCCCTCGGTTTGTTCCTTACATACACTTACAAAAAGCCGAATAACTGTTTTAAATAGCGTAAAGTTTTATGCTTTCTAAGAAATGGATACCGTTAACTTGGTCATTGCTACTGAAAACTGAAAGTATCGGCAACAATTTTCATATTTCTGGCATATTTTTTAACCTTTAATTCAATAAAACTTAACTTAACGAAAAAAGTTCAGGGAATTTTTATTCTTCTGCATCGAATACCAACAACTCACTAGATTTTCATGGCCAACCCTACTATATAAAGATCGTGAATGAATAGTACGGAAAATGGGGTATGTTATGCAACGAATGTGCAGGAATTGGCTCTTAAAATTTCAGCACTTTTCTGGGTAACACAAAACAATATTTACTTACAACGAAAAACGTATTTAACTTTATTTACACAAAAAATGTATCTTTGGCAAAAATGTCTTTAAGAACAAGTAAAAATATCACTTAAAAATTCAAAACCCTCTCACACTTTTTATGGCGACATTTTCTTCAGAAGCTGTCATTATTCTGTACTCCGAAAATTCCATTGTAAAAGTTGCTGTTCCTCCTGTTATTGTCCTTAAAACAGTTGAATATCCTAATAATTCTGCTAAGGGTACATTTACCACAATCACCTGGAAGTACAGAGTGACTTGTATTTTTTATAACTGAGTTCACTTTCAACAATAATTAAATAGGAGTACTGTACTTACTTTCATCGTCCCCCGCAGGGTTACGTTTTGTATATCAGGTCTCCGTCTTGCTAAATCAGCCATTACAGTTGGCATATACTCGTCTGGCATGGCAATTTCCATGTACATAATCGGTTCCAATATATTCGTACCTGATTCTCGTATCAACTGCAAACACAACAAATTCAAAGCCACGATTTCGGACTTACATCTAACGTACTTTCTGCACAAGTTGAGTAACAGCAGCTGAAATTATACTCTCTGAAGTTCCTCTTCCGACTTCAAATTTATGTAACATGATTTCAGTATTTACCACCCGACACCCAATTTTAGGACCATGTGTCAGACCCACTTCAATGCCATTTCTAATAGCTAACAAATGTCTGGGAAAAATCGTAGCAATGTTACTTGCAGCATCAGGACTCTTATCTAATTTCATAACATCGGTAAGTGGAATAAATTTATCGGTAGGTATCAGTGACAACATTACATTCACCATTTGTTTATTATTTCCTATTTTCGTGTCCATTAATAAACTGTCAGTTAGTCTATTCACCGGTGCTTCCCAATACGCAATCTGCAGTGGTCCTAAATCTGCTTCGATTTTATACTCTTTTATAATTCGATCTTTAATAATCTCTAAATGTAACTCCCCCATTCCTTGTAAAACCGACATCATTAAGTGTTAAATAAAAATTAAAAACTTACCTGATAAAACTATTTGACCCGTTTCAGCATCATGAGTGATCCTCAAACTTGGATCCTCGCGCTGTAGTTCGTTCAAAGCATTGTCTAAAGCGTTCACATAAGCTAGACTTGGAGGTTCGATTGAACAAAAGAAAACCGGTTCTGGAATTTGTGGACCAACCCCAAACAGATTCTCCACACTTTCCTCTTTCAGTTCAGTATTTTTCTTCGTTGTTAATTTTAGCATTTTATTTTTTGCTTTTTGAGCTGTGGTTTGAGAATTCGTCACTAAATCGCCAGACATTATATGCTGCAACGGGTGCAGTTAATACACGTAGTAATGGACCATTGACAATAGATACTTTTAAACCCGACACCACCGCGATATTACCATTTTGTATACTATCAACTTCTTTCAAATCGTCGGCATATGCGATGTACAACTTGCCACACTGTTCTGATATCTCCCTTTGAATACTATAGAGCTTTTGACCCTTGCTAATGTTACCATTATATATACGAAAGAAAACCAAAGGGCCTTTTTGACGGTCGTGTCGAACTTTGAATGCTCGAGCACAAGTATTTTCTTCAAAAGAAGTAAAGTGCTTGTTTCGATCCATGGGGGAAGGTAAGTATAAAATTACGGAATCCATTAATGGTTGAATACCTATATTTTTGTATGCGCTACCCATTAAAATAGGTACTGCTTTCTTCAAAACGAAGGTAATTAGTAAGTAACATTTTTAACAAAAAACATACCTGGTCTAACGTTACTTGACGGAGGGCTTTAACGATATCTAACGCTGTAACAGCATCAAACGATTCTGATGATATTATCAAATTAGCTAAAGTATCGTCAAGAGCGGACAGAATATCAACCAAACGCGATCGGGCTTCATTAGCATCATTCCATAGCGCGGGCTCAGATTTCTCAGATATTTTTATTCGAGAGATTTTGTTAACATCGTTTTTCTCATAAATGATTTTTTCCATTGTTATCGTATCGATTATTCCTGCATTAAAATATGTACATTAATACTGTCGATATACGTCAACAATTGTTATACAGGGTGTTATTGAAAGGTACGTACAACAAAATGGACAGTTCTTCGCGAAGTCTAAGAAGTCGGAAAAACTTATTTTGTGTTATCAAAATTACAAGGGGAAAATTAACCCTTATCCAACCTTTTTAGACGCTACTGAAGGATAAATAGGTAAAATTAATTTATTTTAGTAAATCCTAGCAACTGTAACAATAAAACTTTTGTAGAGACTAAATGTTGCTATAGAAACGAAAGATGATCTTTTTATCAGAGGCGTACAACGAATTTGGACATAAATTTCAATAATTTTTATCTCTAAAAGGAGAACACTTTTACCTGAACTTTTTTTAACTTTTAGCACCCATACTTAGAGACCAATTGCCGATTTTATTTTGTACGTACCTTTCAATAACAGGCTGTATGTATTATTACGATAATCGGTGATTTAAACTCGGCGTGGGTAAAATTCAACAATTTATTTCTTAGTAACTCAAATTTACACTATTTAGAATTTAAAATCATAAAGTAGTAATATCTTAAATCAAAAATCGGACATCGTCATCTATAAAACAGTTTCAACCGCTTGATTAAATTTTCAGTTAACGTCTTAAAAACTAAGAATACTGTTGAAATCGTAATAACCCCATGGATTTTTTTCGGGAAAATGTTTTGGAAACACTGTGTTCTATTTTGTACGAATTTTTAAATATTTTTAGTGACAATTTTTGTGGTTGTTTTCGATGCACTGTATGATATTAACAGTAAGGGAAAAAAATGAAAAATTAAAATAATCGAAAATTCGAAGAATCGAGAAATCTAATCATCCAAAAATCGAAACCTTAAAAAATCGTAAAACCGAAACATTGAAAAATCGAAATATCGAAGAACTGAAAATCGAAAAATGAAACATCAGAAAATCGAAAAAATGTAAAATTCAAAAATCTAAAATTTAAAAACCGAATAACGAAAAATCGAGAAATCGAAACTCCCAAATTTAAAAAATTGGATAACTGAAAAATCGAAACATCGAAAAACTGGAAAATCGAAAAACCGAGAAATCGAAAAATCAAAAGATCAAGAAATCGTGGAGTCGTAATGTCGAACAATTGAGAAACCGAAATAGGCCAAAATCGAAAAATCGAAAAGTTAAAAATTGAAGAATTTATAAATTGAGAAATTGACAATCAAAATATCGAAAAATCGAGAAATCAAAAAACTAAAAAAAATGGAAAAATTGAAAAATTGAGAGATTGAAAGATCAAAAGAATGAGAAATCGAAAAGTGATGAAGTCGAAAAATCGAAAAATAGAGAAATCGTCAAACAAAAAGTTGAAAGTTGAAAAATTGGAAAAGTGAAATCAAAAAACGAAAAAACTGGAAAAACTGAGAAACCGAAATAGGCCAAAATAAAAAAATGAAAAACTGATAAATCGAAAACCTGAACAGTCAAATCTCCATAAATAAGGACTGAAAAAAAATAACAAATCGAAAAATTCAAAAACAGTACATCTAAAACCAGGAACTCGAAAAATCGAAAGATTAAGAAATATTGAAAAATTAAAATATCAAAAGATTGAAAAATCTAAAATTTAAAAATCCAAAAATTGAAAAATCGAAAAAGTAAAAAATGGAAAACCCGAAGAATTGAAATATTGAAAAATCCTAAAACTGAAATGTCTAAAAACTGAAAAATCGAAAAATCAAAAAAGTGAAGTCGTAAAATTGAAACCTTAAAAAATTGAAAAATTGAAAAATCAAAAAATTAAAGAATTGAAGAACAGGGAAATCGAAACACTCGAAGGTCAAGAAATGGGAAAATCAAAACATCGATTAATTGAAAAATCGAAAAATTGAGTTTATAAAAGTCAATTTGAAAAATTTAAAAATCGAAAATTTGACAAAATGACAATTGAAAAACATAAAATCTAAAACCGGACGTCGAAGAAGATTAAGAAATCGAAACATTTGAAAAATTGAAATATCGAAGAACTGAAATGAAAAATAGAGAAATCGAAAAATCTACAAGTTTAAAAACTAAAAAATCTAAAATTTAAAAATCGAAAAACTGAAAAATGGAAAACCTGAAAAATCCGAAAACTGAAATATCCAAAAACTGAGAACCTAAAAGGTCGAAAAATTGAGCAATCGAAAAATCCAAAAAATGAAGTCGAAAAATCGAAACCTTAAAAAAACTAAAAAATGAAAAATCAAAAACCTGAAAAATCGAAAAATTAAAAAATTGAAGAACAGGAATTTCGAAACCCTCGAAAGTCAAGAAATGGGAAAATCAAAACATTGATTAATTGAAAAATCGAAAATTTGAAAAAACTACAATTGAAAAACAGAAAATCTAAAACCGGGAAGTCGAAAAGTCGATAGATTAAGAAATCAAAACATTTGAAAAATTCGAAAACTTGAAAAACTGAAACATCGAAGAACTGAAATGAAAAATCGAGAAAACGACAAATCGAAAATTTTAAATATCGAAAAATTAAAATATCAAAAAACTGAAAAATCTAAAATTTAAAAATCGAAAAAACAACAATTGAAAAACAAAACCTAAAACCGGGAAGTTGAAAACTCGAAAGATTAAGAAATCGAAACATTTGAAAAATTGAAATATGGAAGAGCTGAAAGGAAAAATCGAGAAATCGAAAAATCTAAAATTTTCAATATTGAAAAATTAAAATACCAAGAAATTGAGAAATCTAAAATTTAAAAATCGAAAAAGTAAAAAGTCGACACATCGAAAAATCCAGAAGTCAAAAATGGAAACGTCGAAGAACAGAAATGTTGAAAAATCCCAAAACTGAAATATCTAAAAACTGAAAAATGAAAGAAAAACTGACGAATCGAAAAACTGAAAAATCCCAAAACTTAAACCTTGAAAAACTGAGAATCTAAACAATCCAAAAATTGAGAAATCGAAAAATCAAAAAAGTGAAGTCGAAATATCGAAACCTTAAAAAAATCGAAAAATTGAAAAATCAAAAACCCTCAAAATCGTAATTGAATAATAAGGAAACTGAAAAATCCCAAAACTAAAATGTCCAAAAACGGAAAAATTAAAAAATTGAAAAATTGAGAAATCGAAAAACCAAAAAAGTCAAGTTGAAAAATCGAAACCTGAAAAAATAGAAAAATTGAAAAACCTGGCCTGACCTGAAAAATCAATTAATTGAAAAATTGACAAATAAAGAGTTTATAAAAGCCAAACATTGCAAAATCGAAATATTTCAAAAACGTAAAATTGAAGAGAAAAACTGAAAACCAAGAAATTAAAAAATTGAGCAATCGAAAAATCCAAAAAGTCAAGTCGAAAAATCGAAACCTTAAAAAAACTAAAAAATAAAAATCAAAAACCTGAAAAATCGAAAAATTAAAGAATTGAAGAACAGGAATATAGAAACCCTCGAAAGTCAAGAAATGGGAAAATCAAAACATCGATTAATTGAAAAATTGAAAATTTGAAAAAACGACAATTGAAAAACAGAAAATCTAAAACCGGGAAGTCGAAAAGTCGAAAGATTAAGAAATCGAAACATTTGAAAAATTGAAATATGGAAGAGCTGAAATGAAAAATCGAGAAATCGAAAAATCTAAAATTTAAAAATTGAAAAAGTAAAAAGTCGACACATCGAAAAATCCAGAAGTCAAAAATAGAAAAGTCGAAGAACAGAAATATTGAAAAATCCCAAAACTGAAATATCTAAAAACTGAAAAATGAAAGAAAAACTGACGAATCGAAAAACTGAAAAATCCCAAAACTTAAACATTCAAAAACTGAGAATCTAAACAATCGAAAAATTGAGAAATCGAAAAATCAAAAAAGTGAAGTCGAAATATCGAAACCTTAAAAAAATCGAAAAATTGAAAAATCAAAAACCCTCAAAATCGTAATTGAATAATAAGGAAACTGAAAAATCCCAAAACTGAAATGTCCAAAAACGGAAAAATTAAAAAATTGAAAAATTGAGAAATCGAAAAACCAAAAAAGTCAAGTTGAAAAATCGAAAGCTGAAAAAATAGAAAAATTGAAAAACCTGACCTGACCTGAAAAATCAATTAATTGAAAAATCGACAAATAAAGAGTTTATAAAAGCCAAACATTGCAAAATCGAAATATTTAAAAATCGTAAAATTGAAGAGAAAAACTGAAAACCAAGAAATTAAAAAATTGAGCAATCGAAAAATCCAAAAAGTGAAGTCGAAAAATCGAAACTTTAAAAAAACTAAAAAAAAAAATCAAAAACCTGAAAAATCGAAAAATTAAAGAATTGAAGAACAGGAATATCGAAACCCTCGAAAGTCAAGAAATGGGACAATCAAAACATCGATCAACTGAAAAATCGAAAATTAAAAAAACGACAATTGAAAAACAGAAAATCTAAAACCGGGAAGACGAAAACTGGAAAGATTAAGAAATCGAAACATTTGAAAAATTGAAATATGGAAGAGCTGAAAGGAAAAATCGAGAAATCGAAAAATCTAAAATTTTCAATATTGAAAAATTAAAATACCAAGAAATTGAGAAATCTAAAATTTAAAAATCGAAAAAGTAAGAAGTCGACACATCGAAAAATCCAGAAGTCAAAAATGGAAAAGTCGAAGAACAGAAATATTGAAAAATCCCAAAACTGAAATATCGAAAAACTGAAAAACAAAAGAAAAACTGACGAATCGAAAAAGTGAAAAATCCCAAAACTGAAATATTCAAAAACTGAGAATCTAAACAATCGAAAAATTGAGAAATCGAAAAATCAAAAAAGTGAAGGTGAAATATCGAAACCTTAAAAAAATCGAAAAATTGAAAAATCAAAAACCTGCAAAATCGTAATTGAATAATAAGGAAACTGAAAAATCCCAAAACTGAAATGTCCAAAAACGGAAAAATTAAAAAATTGAAAAATCGAAAAACCAAAAAAGTCAAGTTGAAAAATCGAAACCCGAAAAAATAGAAAAATTGAAAAACCTGACCTGACCTGAAAAATCAATTAATTGAAAAATTGACAAATAAAGAGTTTATAAAAGCCAAACATTGCAAAATCGAAATATTTAAAAATCGTAAAATTGAAGAGAAAAACTGAAAATCAAGAAATTAAAAAATTGAGCAATCGAAAAATCCAAAAAGTCAAGTCGAAAAATCGAAACCTTAAAAAAACTAAAAAATAAAAATCAAAAACCTGAAAAATCGAAAAATTAAAGAATTGAAGAACAGGAATATCGAAACCCTCGAAAGTCAAGAAATGGGACAATCAAAACATCGATTAACTGAAAAATCGAAAATTTGAAAAAACGACAATTGAAAAACAGAAAATCTAAAACCGGGAAGTCGAAAAGTCGAAAGATTAAGAAATCGAAACATCTGAAAAATTTAAATATGGAAGAGTTGAAATGAAAAATCGAGAAATCGAAAAATCTAAAATTTTCAATATTGAAAAATTAAAATACCAAAAAATTGAGAAATCTAAAATTTAAAAATCGAAAAAGTAAAAAGGCAACACATCGAAAAATCCAGAAGTCAAAAATGGAAAAGTCGAAGAACAGAAATGTTGAAAAATCCCAAAACTGAAATATCGAAAAACTGAAAAACAACAGAAAAACTGACGAATCGAAAAAGTGAAAAATCCCAAAACTGAAATATTCAAAAACTGAGAATCTAAAGAATAGAAAAATTGAGAAATCGAAAAATCAAAAAAGTGAAGTCGAAATATCGAAACCTTAAAAAAATCGAAAAATTGAAACATCAAAAACCCTCAAAATCGTAATTGAATAATAAGGAAACTGAAAAATCCCAAAACTGAAATGTCCAAAAACGGAAAAATTAAAAAACTGAAAAATTGAGAAATCGAAAAACCAAAAAAGTCAAATTGAAAAATCGAAAGCTGAAAAACAAAAGAAAAACTGATGAATCGAAAAAGTGAAAAATCCCAAAACTGAAATATTCAAAAACTGAGAATCTAAAGAATAGAAAAATTGAGAAATCGAAAAATCAAAAAAGTGAAGTTGAAATATCGAAACCTTAAAAAAATCGAAAAATTGAAAAATCAAAAACCTGCAAAATCGTAATTGAATAATAAGGAAACTGAAAAATCCCAAAACTGAAATGTCCAAAAACGGAAAAATTAAAAAATTGAAAAATTGAGAATTCGAAAAACCAAAAAAGTCAAGTTGAAAAATCGAAAGCTGAAAAAATAGAAAAATTGAAAAACCTGACCTGACCTGAAAAATCAATTAATTGAAAAATTGACAAATAAAGAGTTTATAAAAGCCAAACATTGCAAAATCGAAATATTTAAAAATCGTAAAATTGAAGAGAAAAACTGAAAACCAAGAAATTAAAAAATTGAGCAATCGAAAAATCCAAAAAGTGAAGTCGAAAAATCGAAACCTTAAAAAAACTAAAAAACAAAAATCAAAAACCTGAAAAATCGAAAAATTAAAGAATTGAAGAACAGGAATATCGAAACCCTCGAAAGTCAAGAAATGGGACAATCAAAATATCGATTAACTGAAAAATCGAAAATTTGAAAAAACGACAATTGAAAAACAGAAAATCTAAAACCGGGAAGTCGAAAAGTCGAAAGATTAAGAAATCGAAACATTTGAAAAATTTAAATATGGAAGAGTTGAAATGAAAAATCGAGAAATCGAAAAATCTAAAATTTTCAATATTGAAAAATTAAAATACCAAAAAATTGACAAATCTAAAATTTAAAAATTGAAAAAGTAAAAAGTCGACACATCGAAAAATCCAGAAGTCAAAAATGGAAAAGTCGAAGAACAGAAATATTGAAAAATCCCAAAACTGAAATATCGAAAAACTGAAAAACAAAAGAAAAACTGACGAATCGAAAAACTGAAAAATCCCAAAACTGAAATATTCAAAAACTGAGAATCTAAGGAATCGAAAAATTGAGAAATCGAAAAATCAAAAAAGTGAAGTCGAAATATCGAAACCTTAAAAAAATCGAAAAATTGAAAAATCAAAAACCTGCAAAATCGTAATTGAATAATAAGGAAACTGAAAAATTCCAAAACTGAAACGTCCAAAAACGGAAAAATTAAAAAACTGAAAAATTGAGAAATCGAAAAACCAAAAAAGTCAAATTGAAAAATCGAAAGCTGAAAAAATTGAAAAATTAAAAAACCTGACCTGACCTAAAAAATCAATTAATTGAAAAACTGACAAATAAAGAGTTTATAAAAGCCAAACATTGCAAAATCGAAATATTTAAAAATCGTAAAATTGAAGAGAAAAACTGAAAACCAAGAAATTAAAAAACTGAGCAATCGAAAAATCCAAAAAGTGAAGTCGAAAAATCGAAACCTTAAAAAAACTAAAAAATGAAAAATCAAAAACCTGAAAAATCGAAAAATTAAAGAATTGAAGAACAGGAATATCGAAACCCTCGAAAGTCAAGAAATGGGAAAATCAAAACATCGATTAATTGAAAAATCGAAAATTAAAAAAACGACAATTGAAAAACAGAAAATCTAAAACCGGGAAGACGAAAACTCGAAAGATTAAGAAATCGAAACATTTGAAAAATTGAAATATGGAAGAGCTGAAATGAAAAATCGAGAAATCGAAAATCTAAAATTTTCAATATTGAAAAATTTAAATACCAAAAAATTGACAAATCTAAAATTTAAAAATCGAAACAGTAAAAAGTCGACACATCGAAAAATCCAGAAGTCAAAAATGGAAACGTCGAAGAACAGAAATGTTGAAAAATCCCAAAACTGAAATATCGAAAAACTGAAAAATAAAAGAAAAACTGACGAATTGAAAAACTGAAATATCCAAATACTGAAATATTCAAAAATTGAGAATCTAAAGAATCGAAAAATTGAGACATCGAAAAATCAAAAAAGTGAAGTAGAAATATCGAAACCTTAAAAAAATCGAAAAATTTAAAAATCAAAAACCTGCAAAATCGTAAGTGCGAAAAATTGAATAATTACAAGTAAAGTAAAAAATCCCAAAACTGAAATGTTCAAAAACTGAGAAATTTAAAAATTGAAAAATTGAGAAATTGAAAAATCAAAAAAGTTGAAAGATCTAAACCTGAAAAAAATTGAAAAATTGAAAAACCTGCCCTGACCTGACCTGAAAAATTAATTAATTGAAAAATCGACAAATAAAGAGTTTATAAAAGCCAAACATTGCAAAATAGAAATATTTAAAAATCGTAAAATTGGAGAGAAAAACTGAAAATCGAGAAATTGAAAAATTGAGAAATTGTAAAATCCAAAAATTGAATACTCCTAATAAATGAGAGTAAACTGAAAAGTCCCCAAACTAAAATTTCGAAAAACTGAGAATTCGAAAGTTGAGACAGCAAGAAATTATGGTCGAAACCGGTTAGGATGTGTATCAGAACTGTAATTCGTGTGACCTGAATTAAAGTGAAGGAAACAGTAAGCAGCTTGTAATATTCTGGTAAATCTAGTATCAACTTGTCGAAAGTAAAACGCGTCATTAAAAATATTATGACATTTTTTCTAGTTAATTTTACTCCTAGTTAGAAACAAACACTGATGCCAACATAAGTCTAGGAGTCTTCAAACGTCATTTAATTTAAACTATGACGCTTCTCTATGTTCTCTGTTTTTGTCAAAGATGTTTGCAAATTCTGATCAAGTCGTTTCAGATCACCAACAACTTCCCGAGGGACTGAAGGTCTTCCACGAGATTTCTCTTTGTTGACACTGCCAGATTGAACACATCTGTTGATTGTATCTCTAATGTGATGCTTCTTGAATTATTAAATCACGGTATTTGGCCAGATATTCTTGCTTACTAGCGGTTACAGAAAACACCCACTCTTTAAATCAATAAAAACGACGACTTTAAATGACCAGTTACAAATGACAAATGACAACTGTCATAATGAGCCATAATTTCAGCGAAGCGGGATTTTTGAAATCCATGGCCAACTACGTCTTTAGAGTCATTTATAAAAATCCTGTATAATAACACACTAAACACTAATGCAAATATACCCATACCTGTAAACACTCCATTCTGAATAAGTGGTAGCTGTGTACAAAGTGTAGGAACTTGCAACTTTTCTTCAATTGATTGACAACAATATAATACATTCGCATCATTCCTGTCCATCTTATTTATAAACACAATTCTAGGAATTTTATACTTATCAGCTTGTCTCCACACTGTCATTGTTTGAGCTTCGACACCTAGTAGTTGCATTAATAAATCCTCTTCGTAAGAAACTTTACACATTTTCACTTATGTGTCAATTTTATTTTACAATTTACTGACCTGCAGAGGCGTCTAAAATAACCACAGCTCCATCTAAAACATTTAGAGTCTGTTCGACTTCCATTGTAAAATCTATATGGCCAGGTGTATCGATCAGATTAAATTGGTTTTTCTTCCAATAAAAGGTAACAGCTGCCGATGTGATTGTAATGCCTCGTTCTCTTTCTTGGTCCATATAATCAGTGACAGTGTTTCCATGATGGACTTCACCCATTTGGTTGATAAGGCCTGAATAATAGAGCATCCGTTCTGTTGAAGTTGTTTTGCCTGTGAACACAAACGACAATAATTATTAAAACACATAACTGCCAAATACCTGCATCTATGTGAGCTAAAATTCCGAGATTTCGAATGTTACATATATCTACATCTTCAAATTTTTTTTTAGTACTACTAAATCTGACAATGGAAATTAAACGGGTTTTGCAGATGGTTTTTAAACTACGTAAAGACAGCATTTCGATAAACTTAAGGTTAACATTTGATTATGATTTCACACCCTGAAAAATCTCATTAGCACTGTATGACCACTAGACTTGTGACTAGTTGTGGTGACATAACCTTAATTTGCTCCGAGATGTAAACATTATTTGAGGTTATATATTTTGTGCATTTTGTGAAATCCAAAGATGTTGTATTATTAGACGTTACACTATTAAATTCTGCTGAAGGTCATGTCCATGGGTCTAAAGTCCGTTCCGCTTTGACTTGCCAGGGTACAAAACCCGTAGTCAAGTAAGCGGTGGTATTGTCAATTATCCAAAGACCTACCGATTTCTGAAGAAGCTGATACACGAATCTTCCACAAATTATCATAATGTTTTTGTTATTCCGCTTTTATTCGTGTTAAAATTTGAATTTTATATATTAAAATTTCATAATATAAATCGAATTGTTTCTTGAATTTTCATAATTTCAAAATAGAATCTTTTGTTTTTTTATCACATCATATTTCAAAAACTATACAAAATTTTGTCTTCGTTTTTTAAATGTAACATAAACAAACAATACCGATTGTACCAATGTAATTTTTACTGTACTAGTGTTTTTAATACATAGCCAAAAAATCTTTCTTTGTTGCACAATTTGAAGTTTCCAATATACGAGTTGTTTTGTATTATTGAAGATTTCGAAACGCGTTTCGTGCAGGTAACGAAAGATTTTTTTTTAAACAATTGTAAAGACTCGATAACAATCACAGTTACATTGCTAGAATCAGTACTGTTTTAACCGTTAAAAATCAAAGGCGGAGCTAGTATTTGCTGAGATAAGACGGATTTTGGCACATGACTTATATCCTAAGAAAATAGCGGGTGGACGGGGCTAGTACTTGCTAAGATAGATTGATTTTGGCAAATGATATATTCTTTAAGAAAATAAAGGGCGGGTGGGCGGGGCTAGTTTTGCTAAGATATTATGGATTTTGGCAGATGACATACACCCTAAAAAAATAAAGGGTGGGTGGGCGGGGCTAGCACTTGCTAAGATAAGACTGATTTTGGCAAATGACATCCTCTAAGAAAATAAAGGGCGGGTGGATGGGGCTAGTAGTTGTCAAGGTTATGATATTCCAAACATCCCGCCTTAAATTAACATGTGAAAATATTTGAAAGCCCGCGAAAGATTCAAAAATTCAAAAATTTGGCCTTGGCTGTGATCGTCTAACAAAATGCAACCCTACATCGTCTTGGCTTTTTTTGCGGCGGGATGCGTTCAGATGCAAGTGGTGGATCCCAAGGTTGGAAAAGTAGTGCTAAATAAAACACAAAATATATGGAGGACACAAATTTATTTATTCCTCCACTGACAAAAGAAAAAAGAAAAAAAAAGCTGCGCCTAAGTTGTGCCGGTTGAGGACACTTCTTAATGCTCAGCTACAAAAAAAAACTTGCCTAACTTTGAATGAAATCAAATTAAACGTACTGAATCAATGCAAATATTTGAATATTACAAATGTAATAAAAACAAAGAAAAATCTGAATTAAAGTAACTACATATACACAAGGAAACACACAAGTTATTACGGACGTGTGGCGGCAAATTTAAAATTATGGCAGTCAACAAGAGGACAAAATTTTAATAAAACTCTATGTACTGCGGCACCAGACCGCTATAAAAGTGTGGCGACCGAACGAACTACAGTAGAACTCGATAATCCTAATTAATTGGGGAAAAGGTGTGTTCGAATTAGCTGTTTGTTCGGATCAGCAAATTTATAAAAAATCTGAAAGGGAATTGAATAACAACTGCTGAAAACAAACTTCAAGAAATAAACCTTTTTCAGAATTTTTAGATGACTTTTCCAAAAATGAAATTTTCTATTATGCATTCGTATTATGCAAATTTAACTAAATACATTTTCTTGTAGCTTTTGGTTTCATTTCTTCGATTACTTAAACTGTTTTTCCAGAATCATCCACTGAAATATAGCAATTTTAAAAATTTCCAGAAATTCTAATTCCACACCGAGTTTTGCGAAAATATTGCTCCGTTACCACTAACAAGCAATATTTTTGGAACCAGCATGTCGATATCGATGTCCCTGAATTTTTTCGCACTTTTTAGACAACTTTTTTAAAAGTGAAATTTTTTCAGTGGTCCCCCCTTCTTCAAATTTCGGCCAATTTTTGACATTTTAGAAATTTAACCAAATACATTTTCTTGTAGATTTCGAGCTCTAGAACTCACTTCGGGCCTCGTTTCTTTGATAATTGCAACCGCTTTTCCGGAATCGACCATTCAAATATCGAAATTTTTTGAAATTTTCAAAAATTCGCATTTCGTACCGATTCTTTGGAAAATGTTGCCCCGTGACCATAAACTCGCTATATTTTTGGAATCAGCACGTCGGGATATATATCCTTGGTTTTTTTCAGAATTTTTAGACAAGTATTTCAAAAATGAAATTTTCAACTGCAAATTTCAAGCCATTTTTGACGATTTTCGAAATTTAACTAGATACTTTTTCATGTAAATTTTGGGCCGCAGATGTCACTTCCGGCCTCATTTCTTCGATAACTTCAACCTTTTTCCAGTATTAGTTAATTATTTCAGAGCATTGAAATATCGCAATTTTTAAAAATTTCAAAAAATTCAATACAACACAAGCAGAACGAAGATCTTGCGTCATTTTTGCAAGTAGGTGGATGTTTTCAAGCTCAGTTCGGATTGAAGAGTTTTTGTTCGGATTAAAGAGGCATCGACTTCTGTTCGGATTACTGGATGTTCGGATAATTGTGGGTTCGGATTATAGAGATTATACTGTACTATAGAGCACAGCAAAATTACCCATAGGGGGCGTTGCAGCACGAACACAGTTTGAGGCTCCTGGTTGTGGCTATTTTGCTACCCACGACGGTGATTCTATTCTATCGACAAGAACATGCCACCCAGCACCCCTCTATTGTCACGTCATCCCGACCGCTGATCTGACTTCTATTCTAAATCTGCGTCTTTTGTGCAGATGGCGTGACCGCCAGCTCTACAAGGAACCGCGCACTCCGCTTCCGCTACGTGTTCTTGTGTTATTTACCTCAATTCCATTTAAACGTTTAATTTATATAACTCTGATATTAAACTACAACTGAAAAAGTGTTGAAATTTAAAAAAAAAACATGAAACAACATTTTGGATTCGCCATACACTGTTGTAAAATTTTAAACAGCGAAGAATTCTCATCTGAGATTAAGACTGGACATCAGACAATTTATATAATGGAAACATTAACCAACAAAATATTTACATGGTAAAAAAAAACTAGCAAAGATTTATAAAAACAAAAAAAGATTTGGCGTGAAGTAAAAACTTGTGCAGACAAAAAAAAACGTGAGGTTAGCAACTGCAGACCATGAAAATTTACGTCGAATTTAAATTATACAGCAAAGAAAATTACTAAGGCTAAAATTGCGAGATAGAAAAAAATTGTGAGAGGTGAAAAATTTCAAGACTAACAAAATTACATTACACTTTCCTCAGTCCTTTTTCCAGAGTGGGACAACGTTAGGTTAATTTAACTGTCGTTAATGAACTATTAGGAATCTTGTGTGAGGAATTAAGAAGTGTTATAAAGTAACACTTAAGTATAAGCATCCAGAAACCTTACTTATAACTTGATAAACAAAGGATGAGTTCTGACTAAGTGAATTTCATGAACCAGTTAATGATTAAAATCCTAACATGAACTGTGAATTTACAAACAATAAAACAAATTTACACCACATGTCAGCGTCGGTCGAAAATTCGCATATTTCCGCAAGAATTAGCAACGCGTGTTGGGGAAACTGTGGCATCATCGTCGTTACGATTAATTGTCGTTAAACAAAGGCTGCCTCCCTTTTTCTAACTACCAAACCCTCTACCTACAAAACAAAAATTCCCTAGGAGAGCTACCAACTACCAGAAAAGAACTAAACGTGCACATGGTTGCCTATGGCGTTTTTTAGCATGAAATTTTAATTCAGTTTTGGTCACCACAAGGTAAGACTGATGTTGACAAATGATATCCTCTGAGGATATAAAGGGCGGATGGGAGGGGCTAGCACTTGCCAAGATTGATTTTGGCAAATGACATCTGTCAAGATGAGACTAATTTTGACAAATGAACACTCTAATAGAAAAAGGAACTCTTGCAATTCATATGTTCTTACTGTACTTGTACTCCTCAAGTTGAATTTTTCAGAATAAATTAGCGTCTTCAGAAATATTATAATAAAACAAACTAAGAAACCATACCGCGGATTCATTATTTTAGAAAAAAACATTAAGAACAGTAAAAAACTATTGTATAGCTGTAAATTTTACGAAAAAAAATCAGTAGGGGAAACAAACAACGAAAAATTAGACACAACTTTCTTATTATGAACTTGATTTTTCACGTAGAAAATTAATTGTGGTCAATGTCGTATTACGTTCCTGATATTTTCCATTTCGCTTATTACCACATCAAAGTTGATAAAAACGACACTCTTGCGATAATGTTTCATATCGGTCAAGTTTAAAATAGAAAAAAAGTAGATAACGACGAGGTTAACACTTGAAGATGAATGATTTTTGGAAAAAACAGCAATTAATCATTTTTAAACATGACGGAAGAGAAAAAGTATAAATGACTGATTCTAAATCGAAGGTAGTTAACAGATGTAGTAGAGTTACAAACAATGTCCATCGAAAAGGCAGTTACGAAAAAATTTTATTCTGATACGGAAGATTAGTTAAGTGAAAATTTTATAAATAAAGACATACTAATTTATGCGTGGGAGATCAAGACTGTTCATTATTTGTTTATACTTGGACGTCAAGTTTCTTATGTATAAATAGTGAGTGAACTGGTTATAAATGTTGTCAGATCTTGTTGAGTAACTCAAGACATTAAGCATTCACTATAGAAAGCAGTAAAATTACAATTTTAACCAAGTAAAATTTAGAAAATTTTCTTCAATTATTCGATGTTCTATGCTACCTACAATTGATATCAATTTTTTTTTTAACTTTTACTTCGTGAAAATACTGATAAATACAGAATATTGAAACATTTTTGGTGAGTTGAAGATCTCAAAAACGACAAAATTTGAGACAATGTTTTTACTCATATTTTGACACGGCAGTGTTACTTTTTGAAGTATTTACTCACATAACTATTATTATTAAGATAAAGGATACGAATAAGTTTAGCGTACAAAAATGAGCATTTCGTCAAAAATTTGTCCATCAACATAAAACATGTTACAAAACATGGACGTAGTTACTGATTTCTAGTTCTTATCATTATCACAAATAAATTTTGTTTTAGATGTCCCAGAATCAGCCAAATTTAGCGACCTAAATAAATGAAAGTTTTTTAGTGATATACTAAATAACAATCTCATTGCCAGAGTGCCAAAGGTTTTGTAAAGTAATAACAAATTATTTTTATTATCACAGTGATAAAATTATATAAGTAATGAGAAATATAACTAAATTATTAGTCTGGTTAATGTGTTTTGAAAGGGTATGTTGAATTAGAAACTTTAGTTTGTTTGTATAAAAATGTATTATTCTTTTTCAAAGAGCCCACGTCTCCAGTAGTTTTCAAATTGCTAACAGAGTGTTAATCTACCAGAATTATTTTTAAATTTTCAATAATATGAATGCACTGAAAAACTAGTTATTAACACACAACTAGTTTTTTTTTTTTTATGAAACGCCTTATACATTTTTACATACTCTCATGAGCTTCTGCCTAGGCTTTATAATTATAACTACAGTTTATTTTTGAAATTCCGATGCGACGGTGTCAAGTTATTCCAATTTTTTTGCCAAAAACTGCAATTGCAATTAAATCAAATTTTAATATATACACATAAGGTGTTTATAAAAAATGCTAAAACTTTTTTAAAATAGAACATCCTACTTTTTATTATACTGTACCTTACTCTATTGTTTGTTCTAATTCTTCTAATAGGTCGAAGCGACTTTTAAAAAGTAAAAAATTAAAAATTGCAGGAAGTACCAACTTGAAATATAGAAAAATTATTTAACAAAAAGAAAATTGGAATTTCAAAAATAATGTGATTTAAGAGCCTAAATCAAAATACATATCTCAAAATATGTAGTTATGATGTTTCATCTTTAACTAATGGGAGCTTTAAACCATTGTCTCAACAATGTGTTTCCATGGTAAAAATCCAACTTTAATTTTAAAGCTCCTTTGACTTGATTATGAAATCGGCTTCAAAATTTTGACAAATGAAATGCTTGTAGAAGATGTCTGAAAAGAAAATTTAAAACTTTTACCGTTTAAATTACTTCGTAAAATTTAAATTTGATAATAACTAATAGGATGTTAGCAGTTTCAATACACTTTTTGTGGTTTCTAAATTAATCTGCGCTAAATAAACTAAAAATAAATTTGTTATATCACCGAACATAATTTGTAGATAATTCTTTAATCTTGTCGATATTTATTTTTAGATGAAGATCCTATTGCTTTTATTCGTCTTTGCCTCTTTGACATGGCAAAGTTTATACGCTGCTACAACCTTAACAAAAAGACAAAGCTGCGGCAGTGGAGGATGCGGTGCTGAACCTATTACAAGTCCATGTTTCGGTGGTGGATGCGGTTCTCAACCTATTCCAAGTCCATGTTCGGGCGGTGGTTGCAATTCATGCCCTGGAGGAAATTGTGGTACTCCTTGCAGTGGCATAGGGTGCACAGGTCAACAACCTGCTCCGATTCGTACATGTTCCTCTTGTATTAGCGGGTGCTCAAACAGATGCTCTTCGAACCAGTGTGTCAACAACTGCTTAGGTTCTTGCAGCTGTGATAATGAACGTATCGTTAATACAAATACTAATCAATGCTGCGATGTCCTACATCCTAAAAACTGTTTCACTGATGACTACGGATCTAGAAGATGCGTGGTCAGACGACATAGAGAATGTTCCGATCTTTGCAGCTCTTCGGTAGTATCCCTTCAACAAACAGAAGGAGCTTCAACGGGATGTCATTACATACGAAACTATCCTTATGTGTACTGTGGAAATTACGAAAGACAGAGTAAGTTTGTGAAAATATAAATGTAGTGTGAACGTATTATACAACACTGTATTTATATAGAGGAGTATGACATTTATTTCCTTTTTAGTTGACAAAAAAAAAAATATTTTATAACCGATTATATCTCTTTTAAAATAAGTCACTTTAGCACATATTCGAACTGTGGTAAAGTATTTAAATGTTGTATATCCTTGTAATGACAATTTAAGCGTCTATCAAAATCCAATTTAATTAAATTAAATTAAATCTCTATTCGTTTTCAACATATATACTGCATAGACGCGTTAAAAATAACCCTAGTAGATTTTTTGTTTAATTGCAAAAAATTTCATGAAAATTCGAATAACTTGGCAACGTCACATTATAACTGCAAAAATGATTTATCTGAAAAAGTTCATATAGTAAACAAATTCAAAAATATCTGATATCTTTTTATTTTTAATAGATTGTGGCCAGTGTTATAACTGCGATGGAGGGTACAATCCAGGGGGGTGTTCGAGAAGACCCGAGTGTACACAAGGGTGTAGAGATGTACTACCTAGGAATCTGAATGGATAGAATGGAACTACATACTATTATAAAAATAAAAATATTCATATTCAACATACAAAACTGTTTTTTCTTCAATTACAGTTTGTTTATAACGTTATAAATTTTCATTTCAGAAGGGTTATAAAATAATATTAACAATAAGTGGCTCATATCTAAAACCGCACACTTAGGGACTAACTTTTTTCCAAATATTGTTAAAATGTCCGATGTGATTGTTGTAAACGTTTTTAAACAAAAATAAAGATGTGTATAATTTTTTAAAACAATTTTTATTACAATAACAAAGGTTGAGGAAAAACAGCACAGTAGCAGTTTAACTTATGTTTAAACTTCATGAAATCAAAACATTGTGCTAACCCAAATATACCCCCTTAAATGGACATGTAAAAAAATTGAAAGCCTGCGAGCGAGTAGAGAGCGTAAAAAATAAGAGACAGAATTTTTGGGAAAGAAAAAAAAATATGAAAGAAAGAGACAACCGCAAGTTGACAGACATACACGTATGGGAAACCGAACAAGTGCAAAAACTCTACGTATATGTTTTTGAATCAATGCAAATATCTAAATATCACAAATTTAATAAAAACAAAGCAAAATCCGAATTAAAGTAACTGGATGCAAACACACACGTTATTACAGGCGTGTGGCGGCAAATTTAAAATTATGGCAGTCAATAAGAGCACAATAAAAATACCCATATGGGCGTTCTAGCACAACCGGAGTTTGGGGCTACCGGTCGTGGCTGTTCTCCCCCGTGACGCACGGTGATTCTATCTATTCTATTCTATCGCAAACCTACCGCAAAGCATCTCTCTATTGCCACGTTTTCTGTGTTATTTAACCTCAATTCCATTTTAAATGTTCAATTTCTTGTAACTCTGATATTAACGACAACTGAACAAGTGTTGAAGTTTCAAAGGGCAATAAACAACATTTAAATTCGCCATACACATCAGATAATTTATAAGATGGAAACATTCATCAACAAAATATTTGCAAAACAAAACTAGCAAAGATTTATAAAAACAAAAGATCTGATGTGAAATAAACTTGTGCAAATAAAAATATTATGTGAGGTTAAAACTTCAGAGCATGAAATTTACGTTCAGTTAAAATTATACAACAAAAAAAAAATACTGAGGTTAAAATTGTGAGATGGAGAAATATTGTATGAGGTGAAAAATTTGAAAGCTAACAAAATTACATGATATTAATATTTGCCATACTTTATCAACGATTCAAACAAAGAGTTTACATTATGTTAAATTATGTCATTATCCAAGTGATCGGTTACTTAAAAACAATTTACTTTGAGAGTTTATAATACCGTTAACCGGTTCCCCCAACAAAACACGTAATAAATAAACACAGAAATATCCAGTCATCGTTGGGAAGAATAAGCGTATCGGTGATGTAAATTTTAGCGTTGCGAGGAAATGCCTAGGTGATGTAATTAATCTTTACCGTTGCGAGGAAATGCCTCGGTGATGGAATCAATTTTTACCCTTGCGAGGAGATACCTCGGTGATGTAATGAGGATAACGATGCTAATAACGATGATAACTGCCTAAGGGAAGAAAAATTAAGAAGTGTTATAATGTAACACTTACGTATATGTATCCAGAAACCTCATTCGTAACTTGTAAACAAAGTTTGTTATCCTGACTAAGTGAATTTCATGAAATCTCCTAGTAAGTGTCTGTTTAATTAAATCTAATGTCTGTTATAAGAATAATAATAATAATATATACTTTATTGTAAAACAGGATTAATTTCCCAATTACAGGACAACAATAACTAATTGTACACTACATTAATAAATATATAAATAAAATAACAATACTATCGTAGTTACAATTTAACAAAATATATCTTCTAAACAATTATTTCCACAACAACTCATTGTGTAAATCGGTGCACGACGTAAAACGTTGGTACGAGCTCTAGGGATCTTGAATGTTTGTACAAATCTAGAAGATAGCCGTGGAACATTGAAGCTTATATTACTAAGAAGATCTATACAATCTATTTCGTTAGAAACCAGTTTTGCAAGAAAACGGGCACAGTAAAAATCTCTTCTAGAAGAAAGTGACGACATTTGATGCCGTTCAAGGACAAGTGACATATCCGTACCCCGTTCAGGGTACGTTCCATCACATTTAAATGATAGAAACTTCAAGAATTTCTTCAGAATTCTATCTAGGACCATGTGCTGCGTGATGTATATCGGATACCAAATTAAAGATGCGTATTCTAACTTGCTTAAAACAAAGGCATAAAACAGAATTTTGATCAAGTTGACATTACGGAAATACTTAGATACCCTCATGATAAAACCTAAGGACTTGTTAGCTGAGTTCGCTATGTGTTCAATGTGTGAGTTAAATGTTAAGCGTTCATCAAATATTACACCAAGATCCTTGATTGACTCTTTTTTAGTAATAAAAAATCCATCAATTGAATATGAAAACTCAGTAAGGGTGTTTTTACGGGAGAATGATACAAAGAAGCATTTTGTTTTATTAATTTTAAAAATATTATTATTACACCACTGCACGATTTTGTCAAGATTGGTTTGCAAATGTAGGGTATCCTCAATGCAGGAAATTTTTGAGTATATTTTGAGGTCGTCAGCATAAGCAAGAACCGGACAACTAAGAGATAATAGCAAGTCATTTACGAATATGTTAAAAAGTAACGGTCCAAGATTAGAACCTTGCGGAACGCCGCTATTAGATGTAAATAAATAGAACCTGAAGCCATTATAAGAAATATAATTCACGCGATTGTCGATGTAAGAGCATATTAATTGTAAAAGTGAAGCTGAGAAGCCAAAGTTATTAAGTTTACGAAGTAAAATTCTGTGTGGGATGCAATCAAAGGCCTTAGAAAAATCAGTGTAGATGACATCAATTTGAAAAAAAGGAGGTTGACGAGTCATTAGTTTGTGCATTTGCAAAAGTTTTTGCAAATGCGTCTACAATATCTTGTGGATTAGTATATTCATTGTGCTCCTCATCGATCATGTAGCTGGGAATTCTAGACGTTCCTTTTTTGACGTTTATGAAACTCCACAATCCAGAAAGATTTGATTGTAAGTTAATCTCCACTTGGTTGATGTAATCATGATATGCACTATTCAACTGATTTTTCACGAGAGATCTTAGCCTTTTATATTCATTATAGGAGACATTATTTTTGGTTCTCAACCACTTACGTCTGAAATTTTCTTTGGTTTTGATATTATTTTTTATTTCATTCGTAACCCAATATGGAAACTTAGAAGATGAACAACCGGAAACTTTTGGAACATTTTGGTCTAGAAGCGTATATAGATATTCATAGAAATTGTCCAGTGCAATATTTACGTCATCGAAATTGTCGAGAAATGTCCAGTCTGCTTTCAATAAATCTTTGTAAAGTTTAGGAAAGTTGGCTTTCCTAAAGTTGTAGCGTACATTATTGGCTGCAGGAAACTTATGGGTAGCAGATGATGCTAAGAATTCTAAGCTTACGGCAAGTGAAGGGTGGTGAGCATCTTCAGGTACAAGAGCTGGCACATAATATTCAAGATCCATTGTAAAATTTTGGTTGTTTACAAGAACTAGGTCAAGTAACTGCTGATTACAATTGCGAATTGTATTATGCTGAACGAGAAGAAGGGAATCACAAAATTGTTGAAGGCGAGGAATTTTAGGATAATTAGGCGGATTAACATCGCAAAAGTGAGGGACGTTGAAATCACCAACTAGAATAACATCCTCATTAAGTAAATGTACTTCTAGTGCATTTAAAAATAGCTCTAAATCAGTGGAGGTAACGTCAGGGGGTATATATGTAACACAAAATATGAATTTGATTCTACCAAATACACACCGACACAAGATAACATCAATTAATGAAACTAAGTTTGAGACATGCTTGGTATCAATAACAGTATATTTAACAGTATTAGAAAATGCAGCGAGAACACCACCATATTTACTTCGACCTGTAATTGAAAAATTTCGATCAGAACGAACAATACTGTATAGATCAGGAAATAATTCAGAATCAGAGACAGAATCGTTTAACCATATTTCAGTGAGCGCTATTATATTAAAAGACATGTCACAACAGTTTGAAAAAAACGTGTGGGTTTTAGAGTTGAGACCACGAACATTCTGGTAGTATATGCTGACATTTGTTGAATTCCTGTTGGAGCTCTTTAGTTTTCCGAAGACACAATTGTGGGTATACCACCACGATATAAAATTTTCAAATTCTCACCACTGTCAGTTCGACGCTTTAGTTCATCTTTTACTGAATGGAATAGTTTGATTTGCATAGGTGTTCGATCTCGAGATATGTTTATGTTGGTCCATTTATTTAATGCATGTAATTTTTTTTACATTACCAATTGCTGTGAAAACATCATCAACAGAATTTAATTTAATACGAATTGGCCGTGCTCGAGATTGATTGGACCCATCAAATTTGGCTAGACGTGTCGGTGGAATAGTTGGCTCTTTGACCTGCAAATCTGACGTTAGTTCGTGGACAAGATTCAGATCTTCAGCAATTTTTTGTTGTTGTTTGGTCGCACCATTAATTTCCTGTCTGTTAAATTGTGTTAGAAAGAGCTAACGATTAAAACCCTAACCTGATCGGTGAATTTACAAACAATAAAACCAATTTACACCACCTGTCCGCGTTAGTCGAAAGTCCGCACTTTTTCCGATTAAAAGGCCGCAAGAATTAGCTGCGCATATTGGGGAAAAATGTGACGTTATCGTTACACAGTAGTCTTCTAGTGATAGAGACTGAAGTATTTGTCATTTTCCTATTTGTCAAGCGATTCGCTTACAATATAACCATAGTATTGTTACAAGACTTTTTCACAGGCAAAATGCAAATAAGACAAGGGTGAGGTTAAAAATATTCAAAATATGAAGGATTATTAGACTATCTAGATTCTTGCACATGCTCTTTTGAACTCGTAAGACCAATAGTGATACCAACTTAAGAAAATTTTTGAATAGATAACCAAAATATACTTAATCAAAGTTTCACTACTGCAATACCGGTTCTTGGTTAAAATTTTGGTAAAAGTATAACCATGGTTTGTTAACTACGATTTTAACCAACAAATGAAATACCGGGCCTTATACGCGTCTTAAGAAGCATTCGGTGCATGTGTGTATGTAGGTA